TGTGGTTGTGGTACTCGTCGATGGTACTGTTGTAGTGCTTGTCGAAGGCACTGTGGTTGTGGTACTCGTCGATGGTACTGTTGTAGTGCTTGTCGAAGGCACTGTGGTTGTGGTACTCGTCGATGGTACTGTTGTAGTGCTTGTCGAAGGCACTGTGGTTGTGGTACTCGTCGATGGTACTGTTGTAGTGCTTGTCGAAGGCACTGTGGTTGTGGTACTCGTCGATGGTACTGTTGTAGTGCTTGTCGAAGGCACTGTGGTTGTGGTACTCGTCGATGGTACTGTTGTAGTGCTTGTCGAAGGCACTGTGGTTGTGGTACTCGTCGATGGTACTGTTGTAGTGCTTGTCGAAGGCACTGTGGTTGTGGTACTCGTCGATGGTACTGTTGTAGTGCTTGTCGAAGGCACTGTGGTTGTGGTACTCGTCGATGGTACTGTTGTAGTGCTTGTCGAAGGCACTGTGGTTGTGGTACTCGTCGATGGTACTGTTGTAGTGCTTGTCGAAGGCACTGTGGTTGTGGTACTCGTCGATGGTACTGTTGTAGTGCTTGTCGAAGGCACTGTGGTTGTGGTACTCGTCGATGGTACTGTTGTAGTGCTTGTCGAAGGCACTGTGGTTGTGGTACTCGTCGATGGTACTGTTGTAGTGCTTGTCGAAGGCACTGTGGTTGTGGTACTCGTCGATGGTACTGTTGTAGTGCTTGTCGAAGGCACTGTGGTTGTGGTACTCGTCGATGGTACTGTTGTAGTGCTTGTCGAAGGCACTGTGGTTGTGGTACTCGTCGATGGTACTGTTGTAGTGCTTGTCGAAGGCACTGTGGTTGTGGTACTCGTCGATGATACTGTTGTAGTGCTTGTCGAAGGCACTGTGGTTGTGGTACTCGTCGATGGTACTGTTGTAGTGCTTGTCGAAGGCACTGTGGTTGTGGTACTCGTCGATGGTACTGTTGTAGTGCTTGTCGAAGGCACAGTGGTTGTGGTACTCGTCGATGGTACTGTTGTAGTGCTTGTCGAAGGCACAGTGGTTGTGGTACTCGTCGATGGTACTGTTGTAGTGCTTGTCGAAGGCACAGTGGTTGTGGTACTCGTCGATGGTACTGTTGTAGTGCTTGTCGAAGGCACAGTGGTTGTGGTACTCGTCGATGGTACTGTTGTAGTGCTTGTCGAAGGCACAGTGGTTGTGGTACTCGTCGATGGTACTGTTGTAGTGCTTGTCGAAGGCACAGTGGTTGTGGTACTCGTCGATGGTACTGTTGTAGTGCTTGTCGAAGGCACAGTGGTTGTGGTACTCGTCGATGGTACTGTTGTAGTGCTTGTCGAAGGCACAGTGGTTGTGGTACTCGTCGATGGTACTGTTGTAGTGCTTGTCGAAGGCACAGTGGTTGTGGTACTCGTCGATGGTACTGTTGTAGTGCTTGTCGAAGGCACAGTGGTTGTGGTACTCGTCGATGGTACTGTTGTAGTGCTTGTCGAAGGCACAGTGGTTGTGGTACTCGTCGATGGTACTGTTGTAGTGCTTGTCGAAGGCACAGTGGTTGTGGTACTCGTCGATGGTACTGTTGTAGTGCTTGTCGAAGGCACTGTGGTTGTGGTACTCGTCGATGGTACTGTTGTAGTGCTTGTCGAAGGCACTGTGGTTGTGGTACTCGTCGATGGTACTGTTGTAGTGCTTGTCGAAGGCACAGTGGTTGTGGTACTCGTCGATGGTACTGTTGTAGTGCTTGTCGAAGGCACAGTGGTTGTGGTACTCGTCGATGGTACTGTTGTAGTGCTTGTCGAAGGCACAGTGGTTGTGGTACTCGTCGATGGTACTGTTGTAGTGCTTGTCGAAGGCACAGTGGTTGTGGTACTCGTCGATGGTACTGTTGTAGTGCTTGTCGAAGGCACAGTGGTTGTGGTACTCGTCGATGGTACTGTTGTAGTGCTTGTCGAAGGCACAGTGGTTGTGGTACTCGTCGATGGTACTGTTGTAGTGCTTGTCGAAGGCACAGTGGTTGTGGTACTCGTCGATGGTACTGTTGTAGTGCTTGTCGAAGGCACAGTGGTTGTGGTACTCGTCGATGGTACTGTTGTAGTGCTTGTCGAAGGCACAGTGGTTGTGGTACTCGTCGATGGTACTGTTGTAGTGCTTGTCGAAGGCACAGTGGTTGTGGTACTCGTCGATGGTACTGTTGTAGTGCTTGTCGAAGGCACAGTGGTTGTGGTACTCGTCGATGGTACTGTTGTAGTGCTTGTCGAAGGCACACTGGTTGTGGTACTCGTCGATGGTACTGTTGTAGTGCTTGTCGAAGGCACACTGGTTGTGGTACTCGTCGATGGTACTGTTGTAGTGCTTGTCGAAGGCACAGTGGTTGTGGTACTCGTTGATGGTACTGTTGTAGTGCTTGTCGAAGGCACAGTGGTTGTGGTACTCGTCGATGGTACTGTTGTAGTGCTTGTCGAAGGCACTGTGGCTGTGGTACTCGTCGATGGTACTGTTGTAGTGCTTGTCGAAGGCACTGTGGTTGTGGTACTCGTCGATGGTACTGTTGTAGTGCTTGTCGAAGGCACAGTGGTTGTGGTACTCGTCGATGGTACTGTTGTAGTGCTTGTCGAAGGCACTGTGGTTGTGGTACTCGTCGATGGTACTGTTGTAGTGCTTGTCGAAGGCACAGTGGTTGTGGTACTCGTCGATGGTATTGTTGTAGTGCTTGTCGAAGGCACAGTGGTTGTGGTACTCGTCGATGGTACTGTTGTAGTGCTTGTCGAAGGCACTGTGGTTGTGGTACTCGTCGATGGTACTGTTGTAGTGCTTGTCGAAGGCACAGTGGTTGTGGTACTCGTCGATGGTACTGTTGTAGTGCTTGTCGAAGGCACAGTGGTTGTGGTACTCGTCGATGGTACTGTTGTAGTGCTTGTCGAAGGCACAGTGGTTGTGGTACTCGTCGATGGTACTGTTGTAGTGCTTGTCGAAGGCACACTGGTTGTGGTACTCGTCGATGGTACTGTTGTAGTGCTTGTCGAAGGCACACTGGTTGTGGTACTCGTCGATGGTACTGTTGTAGTGCTTGTCGAAGGCACAGTGGTTGTGGTACTCGTCGATGGTACTGTTGTAGTGCTTGTCGAAGGCACAGTGGTTGTGGTACTCGTCGATGGTACTGTTGTAGTGCTTGTCGAAGGCACAGTGGTTGTGGTACTCGTCGATGGTACTGTTGTAGTGCTTGTCGAAGGCACAGTGGTTGTGGTACTCGTCGATGGTACTGTTGTAGTGCTTGTCGAAGGCACAGTGGTTGTGGTACTCGTCGATGGTACTGTTGTAGTGCTTGTCGAAGGCACAGTGGTTGTGGTACTCGTCGATGGTACTGTTGTAGTGCTTGTCGAAGGCACACTGGTTGTGGTACTCGTCGATGGTACTGTTGTAGTGCTTGTCGAAGGCACAGTGGTTGTGGTACTCGTCGATGGTACTGTTGTAGTGCTTGTCGAAGGCACAGTGGTTGTGGTACTCGTCGATGGTACTGTTGTAGTGCTTGTCGAAGGCACAGTGGTTGTGGTACTCGTCGATGGTACTGTTGTAGTGCTTGTCGAAGGCACAGTGGTTGTGGTACTCGTCGATGGTACTGTTGTAGTGCTTGTCGAAGGCACAGTTGTTGTGGTACTCGTCGATGGCATTGTAGTTGTTGTTGTTGTTTCCACACTAGTTGTTGATGTAGCAGCTGTCGTTGTTGTCGGGCTCAATGTTGTAGGCTCAATCATCGTTTCCACTGAAATCTTTTCATTTACCTCAGAAAATGTCAGGTCTGTTATAGTTGTTCAAAAACGGTCTCAATTTTTCAAGTTTTCATTTCCTTTTTTTTTGGGGTGTGGAGGGGGGGCTACTTAGTTTTCGCAGGTTCATAAAATGAAATTGCCTTAATTTGCCCCATATGATTTTCTTAAATTTGCTTTCATTTGCTCAAAATTCTCTTGAAGTATCTAGAAACTTCTTTGCGCACCGATCGCATGTTTATAGTGAAGGGGAGCAGGGACTTACGGATAGGTAAGTATCCCTACTATCTTGCAGATTGCATCTCCGGACGTAGTTGTCCTGGATGTTTACTCGTAAAGAGAAACCTTTGTACCTACAGAATGGTTAACGTCTTTGGATCGTGCATTTTGGTTTATCATTCACATCAAAATGCCAATATGCCACTTGGTTATGGACTTTATGTCGCAAGATCCCACCGCCGCGGCTGGTGCATCGAATAATATCGAAACTGGAGCTGCGTAGTCTCTCGCGGAAGTCACGTGGGACTATCCGTTACTGACATTTATTTTCCTACCCGCCCGTAGTTTTTGTGGCGAGAAAACCAGCACCACACGGTCCTTTCCTTAACACTTACCAGCGGGGATACGAATTTTCAGGTAGGTGGCGAGCGATTCATGGCTCAAGTTTCTTTCCCTTCCAAGCCTTTGGTAAGGTTTGCTTTTGATATCCTCGTTTAGCATACTTTTTTTCGAGCCTTGGAAGCGAGCGAAGTATCGAAAGGTTACTTCTTGGACGTATAGTCTGTTCTGTCCTGGCTGTCCCCTGTATGCTACAACTAGCATCCGCAGCGCGAGGGCCTTCGTTGCTGATTTTTGATGGATGGGTCTGATTTGATTGCTCAAGCCAAACTCCCGCGAGCGCCCGGGCAATCGCGTCGCGAGACGGATGTGCTTTGAACGGAATTGTAGTCTTGAAACATACTGTTTGTCTTAGGGGAAGCTGGTCGAGCTGTCTTTCTGTGTTCCTCTGAAGACTCTCTGCTCCATGGATTTTACTTGGAGAAGGAGTTCAAAATGCCGGTGAGATACTCCATTGATACACACTGTACGAGTATGTGGATGTTCGCTGCGGACTTACATTTTGATGCATTTTTTGGGCTTTGCGGCATGAATAGTATTCGAATGGTTAGTCAAGAGATATTGCAGTTGTATTTGGAAGCATTGACTATCTCACTGTTCAACTAACGAAATAACTTCGTATTAGCTTAGAAATCTCGTTAATTAGGCAGTTTTAGTCTGCGCTCATGTACTACAAGGGAAAACAATACCAAGATACCTTCGCAAATAAAAGAATTCCCAATTGGAGCAAGATCTGGTTCGGGTGCTCCCCAGCCGTACTGTTCGCATGCCAACGTTGCGGTAGCTATCGAAACCTCGTCGAACTCACCTGCTAACTGAAGTAACAAGGTACAAATTCATCAACTTTTATATAAACCATGAACGAACCATGCTGCCCTCTTCTTGATTTGTATTCACTTCAATAGCTGCATAACCGCCGCCGATACAAGTTATAGTCAAAATGGGACAAGCATCGGAACTTATCTCAAAGTACATGTTGTTAGAGACAAGACCACCGAATGCAGCCGGGCCGTCTCCAATGGTAGGCATGACACATTCGGTTGCGCAACCTTAAATATATCATCAGTCTTGGAAGTGAAGCATGCCTTGCTTGTGCAGAGTATCAAAATTTTCCGTGCAGGACACCTATCCAGTACCGCCACTATTCTCTCACCTTGTCTCTGAAAAGCAGTTCTGAATTCAAGTCTCATAAATGGTAGCAAATCCTTACCCTTCGCCGCCGTCTTGTATCATCATACAGTCCCCAATGGTCATAGGCAGCAGGATGTATTGGCACCAGGCTCACATTTGTTCCTCTATGTTTATTATACAATTTTGTAAATTCTCGTAGTACAGCATTCTGCCGCTGTAATGGGATGAGATGAGACTTTCGCAATCACCACTAGCAAGGGAACGATACTTAAGGTCCGTGGCATTTAGAGACGAGATGTATACCATCACACTCGTTTTCGAACGCTGATTCCGAATCTGACTCCCCTTTCTGCTAATCTTTTCTCTGAAAGAAGTTATGGAGAGAACCAAGTTTGGCCGCCCAAGGGAAATATGGTCATTGGAACGTTCTCTACCGCGGCAACGTTCTGGTCTAGTGCTTAGCGGGATAGCCCCATAAGTTGATGCAGGTGTAGGTTCAAATCTTTTTGTGTTCTTACTTTAGCATTGCCTCTATTAAGCTTGTTCGAAAAAGTTCACTCGAATTATGATCACTGGATACATTTTAGCGCAAGCAGCAATCATTTTTTCCAAATTTCCACATTTTCTTGAGAAGTAAGGGCGTTCACTTACCTCGAGGAAAGAAGGTTAATTGAGGCAATGCAAAACTGAGGACAAAGTTGTTTGAACCTTCTGCATTATCTCATGTGGCTATCGCACTAACCACTAGACCATAGCGCACCGTTAGCCGTGCCGCTCTGACCATATTTTACTGGGCAGCCAAACTCCGCGATCCATCATAACATCTTTGAAGCGATTAGCAGAAACGGAATCAGATTCGGAATCAGCGTTCCAAGACGAGTGTAATGGTATACATCTCATCTCAAAAGGCCACGGACACCGAGTATCGTTCCTTTGTAGGTTATTTTAGTACAACTTACTGTTTCGCCATCAATGAGTTTCAAATTCACATGATGATTCCCACTTTCTTCAGACGATGCGACCGTCACATACAGCAGCAAAAATTGTATCAATGCAGGCCAATTTGATGCCATTTCACCCTTTCGTTTGGAATTCTGAAGTTGTTGCGGAGCTTATAATGAAGAAACAAGAAGAGTTCATCAAATCTCATAAAGGCAGATGGAGAAATTTCAATGGATTCTCATGAATATGATACTCGTAACTCGGTGGTTGACAGCCAGAATTTCATAATCCAGATTTCGCTATGTAAATCAGTGATGCATCTAGCTGCGTATTACAGAATCAATGATACAGTTAAAAGATACTGTTATAGTTGCGCTAGAATGCCTTGCAGCAGTGCTGGTAATGACGTTTGAATATGCGTGCAAGCTAGACCATAAAGTTCTAATACAGCTAAGTTATGGGAGTCGGTTTGTATCAAGCGCTAAGAAGTGAGCCAGTTTTTGAGATTTTTTGTTGTTCGTATTACAAACGTTATGAGTTGAGTACGAAGCTTCATGTTATGTAATTTCCCTTAGGTCGATGCCGTTTCAGTAAGCCTATTCAACTCCTAGTGATTTCTTCTTCAGTTAACATTATAGTCAGCGGGGGGGGGGGGTTACGTGGTTGGTCCTTTTACGATGGCATCAGTGCTTTTAAAATAACTAATATTGGTCCTAACAGTCACATAATTAGGCGGCTTGTTGAGTGAGGGAATAAAGAATTCATGATTTTCTTCAAAGCTCAAGAATAATAGTTTCATTAGTGAAACTAGCAAGAGTATGCAAATCGCTAAAAATGTTGTCCTGATGAGTGATGTGTAAAAACGAAACGAACGAAAAAATGCTGGTTTAATAGGCAACCATTCGAGCATACGGTGTCGTTCACCACCTGAACAAGCATAGCCGAAATGCTCCGAAAGATGTGTTGCATTCCTCGGAGGACATATGTGAGAACATGGATCACATAATAGACCAGACAATGATCGTTAACGCGGAAGTAGTTGTTAGAAAAGTTGTCACAACTATCCGTTTGTGAGTCGAGATCTGGTGTGGTCTTGTATGGGAGCCATAGATAGTATCCTTGAGTTTTGAGCTTTGGAAGAAGTTCTGGTGTAGAGTCCCATACTCAAATCAAACGCTGCTTGACATTTCCTTTACTCTGGAACGCAATTGACGCTCAATTTCTTTAGGTAGTGATTAATCACTTTTTGCAAGGAGATGTATATCTTTGGTGTAGGTGCTGTCTATTCCAACCTCTCTGTGCAAATTTAGATCGTTCATGACAGTTTTAACCTAATTTATAGTTCATGTAGGCTTAGTCTAACATTTTACATTAGCGCAAAGTTGCATTTTGTATCCTCCTTGAGTCTCACTTTCCAGCTAGAGAAATAGAGGGAGTTGATACTTTGTTGCGCGCCTACCATCAGTACCACATTGTAGCTCACTGCACCTGCCTCTACATTCTTTTTATAATTTCTGAGCTGTGATTGGTCAAAAATAGTATTTCTCATGATTTGGATAGTAGTTGCGTATAACTCACAGTCTGCAACTGTCAGTTTACTGATTCGTACTTGATTTGCCAATGCCATCTCAAACCCAACCAAAATGCAGCTGTTAATAATAAAGACTGTTTATCTCTTCATACTTTATGGTGTCATTCATTGACACGATTTTAGCTTTTTGCTTGTTCATGTTTGCTGTTTGGATCTCACCTGTAGAGTTACAGCGTCTGAAATGTAATGTAGGCTAAAGCTGCAAATGTATAGCGAATACGCTTACTCATATTTGTTGCTCGACGCAATCGTATAGATGTTCAGAAAACTTTATAAGTACCCTGCGAGCATTTACGCATAATTTCTGTGAGCTGGTCTTTGCATATATACTTGGAAGAAATTTCCTTCTCTTCTTTTCTCTAAGAAACACCCCTTGCCTCCACTGATTTGTCTTCCAATGAAATATAGTGCTCTATCATGCAATGTGAAACAATAAGTTGCAAAAGAAAACATTAACAAAGCAGTCTATCATTCCAATTAAATTCTTAGCTTATGGAACATAACCACATGCGTTTTGAGATGCAAAAATGATCGAACCAGGGTTAGAGGAAATGATTTCACCCAGAAGAATGCCAATGTTGTCAATTAATGATGCCTTGACCCACATCATTATAAACTAATCATCAACTTTCTCTTGCGACTCTCTTCTTTAGTCTTAAATACTAGGCACTCTGTCAATAGTTGAAAGTAATCGTCATGGTGAGCATATAAAATCCAAGTTTTCTCGTCTATGCTTTTTTGCCCACCGTTTTTTATTGATCGATGCTTACAAGTCTAAACTTTGGACTTTTCTAATGACATTATATGGTCTACTATCTCCAGTAACAAATGTTTTTATTTCAGACCAGGTAAATTAACTATCTGAGAGGAATACGTTTGAGACATGACAGTAATAATGGACCGACTCCTGTACATAGAGGGTGTCTCAGAAAAATGTGCACGCTGTTTGTTAATAACTCGCTTGCTTTGATATTTCTCGCCGATCTTTAGGTACCATTCTGCAGAGCGGGGTTCAACTTAGATTTACAGTATGAAGCGAAACTCCTATCTCTTTTTGCTGATTTAGGATTACGGTATGAATTTTCAGCACACAGCGCCGTTGTGAATTAGCCCGTTCGATAAAAAAAATTCCAAAAAATTCTGGGATTTTTGTGTAGCAGGGTCTTTGAGCATGCTAATTTCATTATGCAACTTCTTACAGGAATTCTGAGCCTTTTCAGAGCTGTAATCACATATCTAAAGAACATTGGAAAAGCAGTTGCTATTCTTTTCCTGAAATAACCGATGAAGAAAGCATGACCGTGGTGTGCAAATTGCATATCTGTAATCAGCGACTCTAGCCTAGTACTATAGTTTTTGGAGGTCGAAGTTTTGCCTCATACTGTAAATCTAAGTTGAAGCGAGCTCTAATGATACCTGACTGGCGAAAGACATGGAAGCAAGCGTGTTATTAACAATCAAACAGTGTGCACATTTTTTGGGATACTGTATATGTTGCTTTGTCAAAAATCGTCTACAAAGCAGCGTTGGAAGTGTTTTAACAGTTTTCTATGCGCCAGTGGAATTAAACAAATTTGGCAGCTCCTTGCTGCTATCATTCGTTTGCATTCTTTTCTCGTCTCAAGCATTGATATAATGCATAGCTTCCTGTCCTGTGGTTTTTTTAACGCATTAAGCTGCTAATGACCTTGTACTTGACTTTAGCGGGCATCTATGCAACAGAACAATAATTTGCTTTACTGGACGGGTGGTTAGATTTGTCTGCTTGGAACAGTCTTGACTAAACGTCTTACTGAACACTGTGATTACTGTATGCGAATACAGACGTTAAAGCTCACGTGCTAAATAACCGTTCACCGTTTTTCTAGTAATATTCACCGCCGCATTATAGTGATTGAGCTTAGACATAACTATAGCGTAGTTGCTCTTGTTTAAAAGAACTCTGTGGTTTTTTTATTCCTGGAACGGGCAATATGTAACCTTGCTTTGGAAACACTCATACATATATTAGAACCTTCCTAATATTCTCCTTGTGCAGGTCGAAATCCAGACAGATAACTTTCAGAACGAGAAGAAATCCGGACGATAATTGTGACATGATGCTTACTAACTTCTTCGTAATTCCTCTCATACTGGTCTATCGTCATGCGACAAGCGCTATAATCATACCGCCACATCAGTTTGTTGCCCCTCGATATGTAATTTTGGGAGGAAACAAGGTGAGATGTAAATTAGTACAAGTTTCGTTTGAAGGCAACGTCCCACCAGACTGAGGAATACCTGGCTCTGGTAGTAATGTAATAGTAACCTCCTAACTAAGCGACGACAGAAGTTTGCACCGCGAAAGGGGGTCTAAGAAGTCTACCAATCGCCCCCAAGTGGCCCTGATCTTACGGTAGGCTCGGACGAGTACGAGATGCATGCAGGGTAGAGACGCAGAGTCGTTGCGGGGCCTTGCGCTCATGACTATGTGCGCTGTGCGTGCTCTGGCCTTGCAGTTCGAAATCGTTGTTTGGGCGGCGTCCGGGCCTACCGTAAGATCCGGGCCACTTTCAGAGCAAATTTCAAGCTTGGTAAACCCCTTTTTTCGCTCCGAACAGTCATCGCTTCGGTAGGGGGTCTACTCTAACATCGCCACAAAAACCCTGCGCCCTTCTTTTTGCCGGGACGCTGCCTTCAAATATTCAGTAACATTAGCGGGGAACTTGAACGTCTCCAAACCTAAACCACTGGCAGAGACGTCTGAACATCAGCACTTTGAACACACTTGTGTCTCAAAATGAGAAACCAGGGAAAGATTACGAAAAGAATAATATCTAAATCCCAATGCCAACCCCATTTTGGAAACTGTGCAGATGTACACTTTAAGAAATTCTACGTGACTCTAAGACTTTGCACAATGAATAGTGTTTCAGGGCAATGTAATCACACCTGTATGGCCAAGAATAATTGCTCGAACAAAGTTAGGTAAGCAACATCACTGATCCTGTGGAACAAAGATATCAACATTTAGAAGCGAATAAGGAGCAGAGAACCGCAGATCCTTTAGGGAGTTGGTGACATCACACACGAGTTAGCACTACCATGAACATGTCTTATGACTTTCAGTTCCAGCAGCTTACTGGGTGGCAACGTTCTTCCTTGCAACCGTCACTATCATTGGAATGTTCCTGCTTCTGTTGATCGTAAGAAGACGACATCCGAAAACCTCCCAGCAGGCTGCTCATAACCATGTTAAAATACAGCCATGATGTTTGCTTTCTTGTAGGCAAGACGTCATAGATAGCAAGGTAGAGTCTCCACGCACTCTTTGTCAAAGGCACCGTCCACCTAGATTTTCGACTTCCACGTTTTCGTCGTTTCAGGGCCTTCTCATGTTCCTGATTCCGAATCTGAAGTCGAGAATGCTCTAAAACCCCGACAATCTCCGTTCCGGAGAACCCACAGGCCGGCTTTTCGGGACGGTGATTGGATGGGCGCGCACATTAACTTAGGGTGGACGATGCCTTTGAAGTCTATTGCCGGACGAAGGCCCAAAAGCAGTACTGACAAGGTTGGCGCTAATGCGGCTCGTACCCTTTGTCTCATTTAGAGTGAGTCCGACTCGAGCGGCTCAAGTTCTGTGCCGCCGCCTCACCTGGACCCTGAGGTCCCGGGCATACCTCAAGCAGTTTCAGTCGCGACGCGGCTTGGCAATATAGGCTGTATCAACCAGCGTCGGTCTCGCGTTGGTGTGCCTTGCGATGACGCGCTATCGCATGCGACGCGCCTTAACGCGTAACAGTGTTCGCACGCGTCGCACCGCACCGCCGCTATTTGCCGCGGGCGCGACTTCGCATGACCGATGCTGGTTGGTACGGCCTATACACTAGCTGCTTATAACTCGTCGCACTAAATTTGAGCGCACGGAAGATAGCACATTTTATCCACTCACAAAAGTTAAATACCCAAGCATTTGTGGTCTGTGAGGTGGGTTTGAAGAGATCTGGCACATGGCCAAGTCGCGTATCGACTGAAATCGCGAGAGGTATGCCCAGGGCGTGAGCCGCGTTTGCGAAAGTGTCGTCTGATCCTTCTTCCACGCCTGAGCGTGGGAAAGGGCTTAGAGGCGAATTTCAATCGTTTAGGCGTGGGAAAGTAGTCAGACAACACGTTCGCGACTGCGGCGCAGTGTCCAGGCGAGGCGGCGCGCAAAATTCGAGCGGCATGAGACAGAGAGTAGCTACGCTGTTGTGAATCCTGCGCCTAATGCGCCCTGCCAATATTAGAGTTGCATTGCCCCCCCCCCCTCCTATGTTTAGCGCCTTTGTTCGCCAGCACCTTCCAAATAATGCCATTCTTCCTCATTACTTCCAGCAATTCAATTCGCAGCGAACCAAACTGCTGGAACACTACGACTATTTCGAAATTGATGCACTTTCGCGAGGCAGTATCTTGGCAAACTGGAAGTGCTCACAGGGCCTCCCCTTTGTAGATATCACCCGACTTACAGGTTTATAGGCGCAAAGGGGGTGGTTATAGAGATAACTAAATACACCCTCTACCTCAATCGCATGTCCTCGTTCAAAAGGCACGACCGGGACTCTTTGGCTCGAGTAGACAAATGTGTCGTCTCAGCTAGAGGTCGGCGCGCCACGCTGTTCTCCCCCTCCCCCCCCCCCCGGATGCGTAGTATAGTTGGAACCGAATATTCGTGAATAATTTATTCGAGATATTCGAACATTCGAACAGTCGAAAATTCGAGAAAGCGAATTTATTCGGCTATTCGATTAGTCGAATAAGTGAAAAAACCTTTGAGTAGTCATTTGGAAGCGCACTTGGAAAAACGTCTTATTCGAATACCCGAGGAATTTTGAAAAACATTTGTGAAAAGTACATGAATATTCGAGTGTTAAAATGTTTATCCGCATGTTTGATATGCCAGCTTTTTAGCCTACACGAATACTGCATTGGAGTTTTCAAATATTCAATGATATTCAGTTATTCGCTAATTCGCATAGTCGAATATCCTGTCTGTTCGAATATTCAAAAATCGTTGGTATGTGCCCGTATTTGAATTCGTATAATAAAATCGGAAATGAAATTATATTCGCTTGTTCGAAAATTTTTCGAAAATCGATTACTCGATAATCATTCGTTCGCAAATTTATTTAGTTATTCGACATTCGTTCATTCGATGAAAATTTCCGTTTGTTACACCTATAATGCCCTAGCCACACGTAAGAGGGAACTGCCATGAGACACTGCAAATCGTCCCTCTCAGAATAGATTTTTACTTCTTTCGGTGTCCGTGACCACGGTGCACGCAAAATACTTTGTTCTCGACACCATTCACATTACCTATCGTCGCGAGAATTGCCAAGAAATTGCCTCAAACTTCGAATGCGTAACATGTCATAATTAGTGCTAAAACATTGTTGCGATAAAGACTTACTTCCAACCGACGGATTTTTACATACAAGTAGATTCTGGATGGTGTCACTAGGAGCAGCTCCCTCACCTATTGGCTGTGTTTTTGCTTAGTAGCAACAAAGTTTACTGTAGCTTAAAAAATAAATGTTCGAGCCTAAATCTTATTATGTTTGCAAAAACAGCGAGATGATAATTTAACAAAATAGCAACATTCAACGTAACATGATACAGATCTACACGAAGCACTCAGCAACATAGTTGCCGACAAATAAAGTACCCAGAGAAGTGCTTGAGGCAGCGAAGTAGTGAACAAAAAGTGAAGAGAACAATGAGGATGATGCTGCTCGACATGGCAGAGAGATCTTCAACCGATAATAATCAACAACTCGTTCTGTGATAAATGAAAGTGACATGCCTATAATGTATAATTATGCGCCTTGGATATCTAGCAGACCGAAAGGACTAGTTAACAGTGCCAGTCTTCTTTGGCGCTGCACTGGCGCGCGCACCAAATGTTCCGAGGCATAATGCGCATGAATACTCATTTTCTGGCAGATTTTTCATCTTTGGAGTGAAACAGTACGTATGGTAACCGCGGTCACAATCATCACAAAACAGGAGTTTATCCTAAACCAAGGCTTTCAACGTGGAAAGGTAATGAGCATGTCGATTCGGATTAAGAGAAAACCTACGTCGTTCTCAGATGTCCCACAGATAGTGCAACTCTTACACTCGATGCACTGCCATCCATAGCGTTTGATGATTACGGGAACGTTCTCGTTGAAACTCAGGCAAGACGGGTGAGCTGCAGTATTGTGATTCAGAAATAGCCATTCAGAGACATGCCTACCTGATCGTCCGCAGTCGTGGCAAACAACAAGATCCTCAGGTTTCATCGTCTTTTTGTTCAAATTCTTGCTGCCCAAACACAAATCACAGATTGATGAAGTTTCGAGTAAAGGTGAAATTTCTGAAAAATTTCGATTCAAGACAAACAAACGTTACCAGAGGAGTCTCAAAGTTTCTTACCTACACTAGTACCAGTGGGTAGTGGATCGTTATGTTGAAATGCCTTGTGATACGCTAAGCCCGCGAGACTCTTGTAGGACGCTGAGCACACTGAAGACAACATTATGAGACTATAAAGACTAAAAAGGAGAGAAGAGGAGAGCGCCAGTCGCGACCGGCAACCGTGCAGCGGGCCGTGGGACGCCAAGTGGGCCGGACGCGGCGCGGCTTCGTCGCGGATTGCCGGCGCTGGTGGGCTCAAAGCCGCGCCACTCACATGTGCAGTGGAAATTGTTCGCTTCATCCGCCGCGTCCTGCGCCGCACTTGCTGCCGCGGCGCCAGACCGACCCGCTCTTCCCGAGTCACTCGCCTTCTTCTTATTCTTTGCGCTTCCTCCACCACCCGAAGAACTGCCTTGCGCCTTACGACTCTTCCGTTTCGATCCCCAATCGTCTTCGTCACTTCCACCGTCGTCATTAGAGGCATCATCGTCACCCTCTTCGTTGTAATCCTGAAAATGCTCAGGTGCTTTCACAAATTTTGAAGGCTATATTCAAACACATCTAGAAGTAACTTACAAGGTTATCAAAAAAGAAAACGCGCTGTTTCAAGCAGTCAAGTCAGTTGCGTCTTCGTACACTACCACATTACCAAATGGTAAAAATTAATAGGTGGATAATGGGTAATGGGCTTACGGTTGATTTCCACACGGAAACCGACCAAAAGAAATTACCATGTGTGAAAAGTAAAGGAGCATCAAAGGAAATCAGATCATCAACGGTCACGCAGCTTTTTGGTTCTCAAACATACATAGAAGAAAAAAGCGCGCAAAACTAAGAGGACAAATAGTGAGCTGTGAGGCTAGATCATAAACAATTTCAATGTGACAGAAATGAAAGTGATTGGCTAGACATAAAAACTTACAAAAATTCCCTTCGGAGTTCCCTTCGCTTGGCCGTAATCAAAATTCGTGTCGATGACCTCTGCAATGAAAGTAAATATAGGAAAGGGAATATATGATGACTGCCAATCTCGTCTAATTACAACCAAAACTCTGCACATCAAGTACCACTTACCAGCTTGAGCAGATGCTGCCGTTGTATTCAAGGCGGCGTCAAGAGCAGGATTATCACGTAAAAACATCTTCATTTCGATCGCATCCGAAGAGTTTGCAGACTGACGACGTCGCCATCGCTGTGTTACATACTGAACGATAGTGTGCGCATCAGTAGCGCTGCATCGCTGAGATGGAAGCCGGTAGAAGACGGGATTGAAGCGATGCGCAGTGCCGGTTTGTTGGTCAAAAAATGGATAGCGAAGTCTGGAAAATGCTGGCATTACATAGGGGTCGAAGCAAAACTATCGGACACAATGGCAACCGCAAGAAGCAGTTTGCACGGGCGCTTTTGATAATCAAAGCACTAAGCCATTAATGCTCCTCATAACTGCTTAATTGATGTAGTGCGTTATTAGGAAGCAAAATACCACAACTCCTATATCTCAGAAGATGGAATTACTCCTAGCAGCAATATGCTCGCGCAGGATACTTTCCCATAGGCAATGCTAGATAAGTTACGTAAAAAACACTGCATAGAGATATAAGTTTGCTAGCAAGAACAGCGACCATGCATTTCATCACTAAAATACAAGAATTTTTATCGAATTTCACCTGGCTTTCCTTTCATTGCAAGCACGTTCGTTCCATTTTGAGCAATTCTTCATCAGCTCGATATACGCTCCTTCACTGATCATATTCTGTAAGAAAAATATGCTTAATCTGTCGAGTAGATTTTGAGAGCTACAAAGATGATATTCAACCACACACGCGAAGGAGGCTGCCCGAAGGACGCAGCCACGCTCGACGTCCAATCGATCGCGACTGCTGAGTCCCGTAATGAGGTGTTTGAACCGCACTGTCCAGGGCTGAGTGCTTACCCGACTAACATGTCAGTATAGAACATAACAGCTCAGAGCAGGCTTCAAAGTTGGCAGGTATGGTGCACTTGGTGTACTTGAATGAATGTGACAGTAGTCAAAAAACGCATTTATAACTGCTGCTTCTTCATCCAAATCAGTGCGGCCGACGGCTTTTATCAGAACTATGCTGACAAGGCTGACATCGATTTGAATGGTAAATTTAGAAAAGTGCAGTAGTCTGAGTTCATACGAAAAATTTTAGGTGTCTAAGTTGAATCTACAGTTCACTGCGGCCTATCATTGACGAGAAGACCGAGGCGACTAAATACACGGAGGAAAGTGAGCGCTCTAAAATGATGCGCCAATCCTGGACCAAGGCAAACACTATCGTTGCGGGGAGACGGTCGTAAGGCGCGCATTTTCGTACGGCGGTCGCGCAGGGCCGCGTTGCGGTCGCCGCGGCAGTTTGAAATCTGCCCGGTATACTCGTCCCACTCTGCCGTCCTCGGTGGCACGCGCAAGACGCGTCAAGTCGGCCGTTTTGGCGCGCAGTGCGGGACTCTGCGTCACTAACTTCTCCAATCGATATACTGCTGGATTTTCCGTCGCAATTGTATTACGACAGCATTCATGATGTTCTTGAGAGTTTACGTTATCTTTATTAACTGATTGCGATGTGTGACGCGACTTTGCTTCATTGTCATCATTTTCAGAGGCCAGGTGTTCTTCACCACGAGTACGATTCCTCAGAAGAGCTAGACGCGCACACTGAAATGGTCGCTCCTAATGTCGATGCTCGTATCGTTGAGAGACAGGTATGGTGTATGAATTTGTAGTTTTTATTCTTTTCAAAATGTCTTTTTATATCTTCTGTTTCTTTTTTCGCCATTGCTCACAGCTCTTCGACGCTTTCCTCTCAAGATCTCCTTGTTACTAGAACTTTGATGCTTAGCCAAGTAAAAATAGCGCTCTCTGCATATAAACAACCTCGGCTAGACGTATTGAGGGAGAGTATGTGGAACACCTGGGAAACCGCAGCCGAGCTCAGCAGAGAAAATCGAAGTATGCGCAGATGGAACTAGTCTAGTTGCCAGTTTTTGTCGAATTTTCAAGTAGCTGTGAATTGGAAAGAAGGGTCATATTTTTTGGAACTAAAACTTTAGTTCAGTTTTTGCAAACAAGAGTTCTCATTGTCGATTTATTTTCATGAATTCCTACTCTGCTTCATGTGTCTGTCGTTTGTATCACAGTGCTCATGCTTTAATGGCTGGTATTAGGCTCACAGGTCTCCATGTATGGATTTTCAGGATTCTTTGGCCCGAGCAGCAACGCTGCAGGAATGTGATCGCGAAAGGGGCCCCGAGATTCTAAACGAAGATTCCTTGAAGATATAACCCAAGCGGTAAGTTTTTCAAATTTTTTTTTATTTTGCTGTTGAATATATGAAATGTATATTTACAGACGGGCGTTCCTTCAGAGGAAACTGACTTGGACGATTATGAGTTGCAAAAATGGAGTATCCTCATCAAGATGATAAAACGCACCCGTACGACAGCTATGATCCATTCGCTCATGAATATCAAATTTCCAAACTCAGGTTTTGGGAGATCGTCGAACATAATCACACAGATCTCGTAAAGTGTGGTGTATCTTCGTTATCATCGGTGCTCTCATATCGTGGCTTACCCCTTTCCGCTTTAACATTGCCACAACAATATTGTTACAGGTGTACAGAAGTGCTTTAACTTGTTGTTTGTCTTTGAAGTCCTAAGATTCTGCTAGAGTTTTGGGTTTAACCCATTAGTTAGGATATTGAAGTTGCTTTGCCCAGTTCTCATTTTTATGACCTCATTGATTTTGTCTGTTTTAACGATTTAATGCATATGAAGAAGTTTCATTTGAACGTATTGATGAGATTCATAACAAGCAACAACGTTTTCAAACAACTTGCAATGGATAAAACATCACTACTACTAGACTAGAACGTTGGATCAGATCACATTTACCATAATCATAATCTTTCCCAACTCCTTTCTCCACCACCGGCTTCTTGTTTCAATTTGACTTAGTTTGGTTTGTCTAATGAAGCGGCGATTTCGCCTAGCTCTTGTTTCATCTGAACAAGAATCATAAATCTAATGTAGAAAAAGGCTCTAAGAAAACAGACCTGCGCCATTCGGTCACTTAGTTTTGTCCATACTTCGCTGGTTTTCCACAGCCGCCGACGTTTTCCACAATCTCATTGAATGGTTGCTCATGTCGCTCTCGACTGGAACAATTCTCATGCACAAATGACTATAGAGAGAAAGAAAAACTGCTAATCCTTACTCAACAACAAGTCTTTGCATTCTCCATGGCAGGATCAGCAAGAGCGTGGAGCACTGGGCCTACCGCTTTTTCCACTCGGCGTTCATCCATTCCAAATAAAGCTTAAAACGGCACTTATGTCTCTCGTCATAAGCTAGCTGCACACCTAAAGCAAACAATTGGATTGATTTGAGTGGAGAATTGAGCTAAGCGATTTTGAACTAAGAAAAAAGTATCAAAGACGACATAAGACCCAGTTTACTTAGAAGGCTGCGAAAAGTTCACTTGCGAAACTTCTTTCCGATAGTAAATAGGTGTGGTGTGCAGTAGATCGCATGTTCGAAGAATATCTACTATGAAAATCTACAGATAACTTACTACGCACGGCGAAAAAGATGCGACGCAATCGATACATGTAATGTAATGGCTCGGAGAGAAATGGATTGCTAATGGAGCAATGCGTCAAAGGAAGAAAGAGCAACGCGATTGCAATTATAGAATTCTGCAATTGAAAAAGTTTTCCATCGTGAAAGTAGGAAATGAGTTGTAGAGCGATAATACTTGAAACGATGCTAATCTGAGAATAACTATGAGTAGGAGGATGTAGTAATAGGATTAATCAACATAATAAAAAAATTTCAAAAAATTTCTGGCCAAATCTGCACAAATTTTGCAACAACAAATGGAACACATAAAACGATCATTACAGATAAGGAGAACGAAAAAAAGAGATATCGCCCATCATAAAATCCTCACCTTGTCCATAACATGTTGAAAAATTCTAATCGACGACGGAAAATCCAGCAATGTATCGATTGGAGGAGTCAGTGACACAGAGTCCCGCATTGCGCGCCATCAGGGCCGACTTGACGCGCCTTGTGCGTGCCACCGAGGACGGCAGAGTGGGACGAGTATACCGGGCAGATTTCAAACTGCCGCGGCGACCGCAACGCGGCCCTGCGCGGCCGCCGCAAGAAAATCCGCGCCTTACGACATACACCCATCGTTGCGAAGCGGGCGCGAACGTAGCAATCGAGCAACTATTACCGCCGAAGCGCATGGGCATGCAAACACCGGTGACTGCTTGGACATTCATCTTTATCCGGTACTATCTTCAACTCGCTTCGTTTGCTCCTCGTAATCGAGTATGTCCTGAACAACTGTTCGCGTTCAAGGTTCGCCTGAGTCACCCACGCACGCGATGCACAAGCTGTAGCGTCTGCAATGGCGCTTGCCGCTTATGATGTGTAGAGGAGATGAAGGCTGTATCGGGGTAAGGCTCTTTTACAGGCCTGGATCTAATATCTCCTCCATGACGAAGGCGGTCGCCCAAATAGGTTGAGAGCCTGCAAGGCTGACGCGCACGCGGCGCGCGGGCAATTGTCAACCACGGGTCGCGCGCACGCTCGCGTGGATGATCGCTGACTGAGCGTGCGCGCGCCCTGTGGTTGACAATTGCCCGCGCGCCGCAGCCTTTCATGCTTTCAACCTATTTGGGCGACCGCCTTTGTCTTGGAGCAGATATTACGTTTTCGGCTCCTAACGTTTTGTACCACGTTTGCATGCGTACCTTTTGAGACCTCACTTAGCCAAGGCTCCTCAGACATTTTTTGCGGCCACCCGCGCGCTTATGGCCGGCTGGGCGAAAACCCGTTCCGGGCCTTGCCCTGCCATGCTAGCGCGGGCCAGCGACGGCTCCAGTGTGTGCAGCGACCCTGTCACCCGGACGAGCGGGCCAGCCTGTATTTCAATGTCTCCTTTACCTTGTTAGCCCGCGTTAGCATAGCAGGGCCACCCTAAGGTGGGTTTCTGCTTCGCTGCACCTGCATGTGCAGGTCTCCTCAAATGTGGATACAACCCAAGTGACATCAAAAATAGTAGAAATCCTTCCTGCTTCACACTACTGATCGGACTACACGAGATTATTTGAAACCCCATCAATGGCAACTCATAAGGAAACCTGTTGTCAGCCTAAATGCAAGAGTTACACCTCCTGCAAACTCCGATGGCATCCCTTTTACTGCGCCGTATTTCACGCAAGTAACCCTGGGTGTATGTCGAAAGGCGCGCGCTTCGGCAGTCCTCATTGCCAGAAGGGATGTGTTCTCTACAAAGCGAGGTTTCCAAACGCCTAAACTTTTGTCATTATATCCGAAGTAGTAGCAGAGGATTGCTAGTTGAAATCCCGGAAGTAGCAAACCAAACTGAAACTTTTTAATGGCTCTTTTGATTAGTCGCAATTAATCGATACGCGCCATTCGACCGTCTCCCCGTCGCATCCTGCTGAAGCAGGACGATCGGCTGGTCTGGCGCGGGTGTGGTGCGGAAGGCGACAATCCCCAGTTTTGTGCCTATCAGAAACTCTCCGGTGTCAATCGCCTACCTTTATGCAGCGCCAAATGCCGAGTGCCCGTCGTTCAATGCGCCATTCTCGCTCCGCGTCAAAACAACTCTGAATCCACTCACATGCTAATTATACACCAGCCTAGAATTGAAGCTATCTTTTGCCAGTGCCTCTCCCTCTTTTTTTATGACCCTTTCAGGTTACTTCTCTTTTTTTCAAACGAACCTACCCTATCTTGAGACATTTATTCCTTATGCATATGTCACCCATTCCTATAGTTGTCATTTATTTCAGCGGTTTTCTTTTGCTTCCATATTGACGTGAATAAACACATCCCGAGGTCATGCTAGCGCAACTGTTGTATTTGCAGATTTTCGTGTTGGATTTTTTCCTGTGCACATCTATTGTGCACCCCTGGCGCTCAGAATTAGATTAAACCCAACAGAAAGTTCTCGAGTATGCAAAGTGCTGCGAAAAGACACGGCAGAAAGTTTAAGGCATCGATAATAGCTGTGTTTCAAAACGTTTTTACTCACCGACCAGAAAGTGGCAAAATGCTCAAGCGTATGCATGCAAACGTGGCACAAGGCCCGCGAAGCGGATGCATAATTGTGAAAGCTTCCTGACCCGCCCATAGCGACTGTGTAACCATTGTCGATATCACAGGTGCTATTATCAATGCTCAAGCGGCTTTGGATCTGCACGCGCCAGTGTACTAACACATAGGGATTGTGTGCATAACGTGTATAGGTCACTTTTCAAATCGTGACGACGGATCTGACTGCGGTCCTTCTGCCCATAGGAGCTTAATACTTATACGAAAAGGCATCATCTCAAAGCTCATCTCAGTCACTTCCAGTGTGTAAAAACCATCATATGTTGGCAGGAAAACCATTCAAGTAGCGATGAAGGCCAAGAAAATGCGGTTGCCGGAAGACGCGTGCGCATTGCGCGCGGTAGCGCCATCGTCACGATTTTTCATGCCCTACAAACGTGGTTTTAACCTTTTGCCTTATTTCCGCTGCATAGCGGTGATCTATAACTGTGCTGACTTTGATACGAAATCGCTTGTGCAGACATGGATTTGAGGCTAGTACATCATTTCAGCGTTGCCGACAACATCTGCGCGTGAAGGAAATGCTACGCATGTAATGCCAGTTTATGCGCGCAAAATGGTCGTAAAGCGCACACGCTTATTTGCGTCTCCCAGCAGCTTTAGGCGCAAGAGCCGCGCGCCCTGCTATAACCTTGCAGCTTATAGTGAACACGCAACAGTGGCATCTTGCCAGTGAAAGTATGTTGACACTATTGTTTGCCTTCTTTGAAAATGCCTTAAAAAGTTGTCATTCGGTCATGGTGGTTTTAAGCGTGCACAAGCATGTATGGCACTGCACTAACATTGCCTTTTGTCGATTCAAAATCCGGGTAGACAAAAACACCGAAAGTAGCCTCACATAGACACATCCGTAGCGCCGCTGGAGCGAATGCACTTTTGCAAGCGCAGGAATTGGAATCGTATGAATTCGCACATTGCATAAGGCTAGTAGACCTGGCGGTTCATGCAGTGTTTCCGGTGTGGACAACAGTTGCGCCTGAACAAATATGCGCTTTATGGCTATTTAGCTTATTATAAAATGCGCTGCCTAGCGACTTTTTAGCGTGGTGGTAATTAATCAGGTGGTAATTAGCCGGTTGAGCTTGTGGAATATCAAAGTGATCGCACTATCTCAACTGATTATATGTTACCGTTGCATATATTCCTGAAATATGGGTTTCGAAACAATTCTCATTCTCGATTTTCCTAAAGCTTGCCACTTCTCCAAGTTTCATTCTATCTCAAGTGTCACTACATTATGTAAAGACTGTCGAAAAAGATCGGGGTGCGATCGAAGGTTAACAAAGAAACGAAGAAGCGTAAAAGAATGAAGTGAGAAGCAATTACGCCGCAGAGAGTTGCACTTGGACTATCACTCATGCGCTCATGCGGCGATTATATAGGGTGTCCCAGACTAAGTATAGTTGATTCGTTGACCGCACGGACTGGACATTACTGCGGAGCACGCGCCGCGAGATAAAACGCTGCCTGGGTAGGGGACTATATGTCGCCGAAAAAGGGCGGTCCCCGCGGTCATTTGCGACAAATACGCGCCCTTGTACATGCGGGGACATGCGTTCCTGCAGGGAATCCGCCGGGACTCTTCCAAATTCGGCGACATATAGTCCTCCACCCCTCTTGCCTCAGTACACATTCGCCATGTACAAGTCTTGCTCTCGCGACAATCCAGCCGCACCGCGCGTGGCCCGCAGCGTTTGAGCAGTCGTGCGGTCAACGAATTTACGACACACTTTGTTTAATCGCGAATAACTTTCTTTTTGTTTCTTTTTTCTTTTTACCTTTTGTTTAGCATTGAGCGTCACTCGATAGAGCAGGATCTAACTTGCATTCCCTGTATAGAGCGAATCACCCGTTTCTCTTCATTACTGTAGGGTTACGGTAGGAACTTTGAAGAGGGTTTTGAGCCATCAAAGGTTACATATTGTCTTAGAAAAAATACTTAACTAGCCGGAAACGTTATCATTGGGCTAAAGTGAGTCGCTGTTTTTGCATATGGAATTCTCACTTTACCGTAAGACTTTGTTATAAATTATGCTAAACCGCAACAAGTTTTTTCATTGTTTTTCAAAAATGTGATTGAACCATTTGACAAGGAAAAAAAAGGTTTTGAAAACGGTCTGTTTCACAATGGCGTTGTACGCTGGAAGTTCCTACAGTAACCCTACAGTAATGAAAAGCATTGAGTGATTTTCATACATATCCAAGTCGAAGCGTGTTCTACTGAATTGTGCTCAAAGCTGAGCAAGAAACTTTGTGTGAAGAGAGTTATCAACGACTGAAAAGTGTTTACTTACTTTTGGGACACCCCGCATATGCCACTGACTTTGTGTACCATTTACAGGTCACAATTTTATCGTTGTAGACGAAGTTTGGTATTTGCAAACCTTTCCCTTCAAGAATCTCACTACGAAATTTTCTTTTCTCTACATTTTCAAATTTTTCTTGTATTATTAGGTCGTTCCGAAAGTAATGTCGCTTTTTTCAAACGGGCACCACATGTGATGGAACAAAGGTTTCTAAGAGATTTTGGAGGCATTCGATGCAAAATTTTATTTTTTTTTCTAATGGTTATAAAGTTGTTGCAAAGCAGTCAATGGGCTTTCAGAAAATAACCAAAATCTGCGACCTATGCTTTTTAAGATGGTCAAGTTTCACGAATTTTTGAAAGTTTCATATTAATCCTCAGAAGGAGTTCAAGTAACGATTCGATAGAGTAAACCTTATAGAATACAGCACTTCTTTTTTCTCTTTTCCATAGCTTGTCATACATTTTTGACAGAATTTTAACTGATGCTACCGATTTTCATACTTGGGCAGCTAAATCCTCGTAGAACATCAATGAAAGAACAGCTAGGGCACTATTCGATGCAGCATTTTCTCCTCTGTCTAACAAGTGTGTTTTGTTTCCGATTCTTTAGTTTTCGGGGATAAAATCATCATAACTCATTTTTTTTTCAACGAGCCCCAGGCTGTACTCGAAAAACTCTAAATTCGATATTTCGAACCCGTAAGCCCTCAAATGCTTTGTAAAATTAATGCTAACTCATAGTACCATCTTGGTAGTCTCAAATTCCGAAAAATTTATGATGTTTGGTGCGATTGTGGCTGAGGTGGGCCTGCCAAAATGCGATGGTTCTATTAAAAAATCTTTTAAAAAATTACGGCGAGCTACGGGGAAGAGAAATAAGTAGTGCTGCATTCTATAAGCTTTACTCTATCGAATCGTTACTTGAACTTCTTCTGAGGATTGGTATGAAAGTTTTAAAAAATCGTAAAACTTGACCATCTCAAAAAGCCTAGGTCGCAGATTTTAGTTATTTTCTGAAAGCTCATTGACTGTTTTGCAACAATTTCATGACCTTTAGAAAGAGAATTAAATTTTGCATCGAATGCCTCCAAGATCTCTTAGGAACCTTTGTTCTGACACATGTAGTGCCCGTTTGAAAAAAGCGACATTACTTTCGGAACGACCTAATATTTTTGATAAACTATACGGCGCTCTATTGCATTAGCGCAGTTTTTTCTTCCTAGATACTTTCTTTTTATGGGTTTGATAGTAAGTGTTTTTCGTTCCCATAGAATATCTTAACGCATAGCAGATTCCACATATACCCTATGTTTACATGTACAAGCCGCCCTGATTGTTTAGAGGCAAACGTTCCAAAAGAATCCGTATGTGCTTGTTAACTGCGCAAACAGTAGGGACGATTGCCTCGCAGGGCTCATTCGCAGCGGTGCGCCAAGGTCTGTTCTTATCTAGAGCAAAGTGGCTGCGGCTCGCACACGTGTAAATAGGGTAAATGGTTGGATGCACAGTAGGCTACTCATGTGCTCCTTAAGTACCCCGTAAATCCAGAAAAAAGGGCGTGGCGTCGGCCACACCCCAGAAAATTTTTTTTCTATAACCAAAATGAATTTTTAAAATATCAAAAATTATTCTAATCACTTACAAGTATGAACAATTCATGCACATTTATATAAATCTAAGTAACTTTTAAAAAAATTCGTGACCCGTTTTCGAGGGTGGTGGAAGAGGGAGCAGCCGCTCCCCCCCCCCCCCCCTAGAATGGCTCTTACAAGAATTATAAAATGCAAGTGGTTTGTTTTAACCTGTAAATAATTGAAATAATTTCAGAAATAAAAAAAACTAAGATTAACCTTGGACAAAGTTTTTCCACATTTTCTTGTACTTGGCTGTCGCCACATTCCCTTCTTCCAAAGTCTCTTGGTAAGGGTTAGCAAAAATTTTGGGAAGCGTCCTAAACAAATTTTTCGGATGCGTGGCTAGGCCATGCACCTTCGCCCAAAAAAAACTGTTGTCCCTTTCTCCTTTAAACGGCAATCCTGGGTACGCCACAGGTATACACTTTATCAATGTTGTTCCCCCCCCCCTCCCCAAAGATAGGGGATGTACCAAGCAAATTAAATATTTTTATTTCGATTTTGTGCATTTAGCATGGAATAAGTGTTCTTGAGCGTTCAGCTCTCGACACTTCCCTCGCCAACATTATTTTTTGACATATTTATTCATTTCTTTAATTATTCGAGGCAAAGCATTGATAAATCAACTGATGTGAGAACAATAAACTAATCGCTCATGGCTGAAAATCAAAAGTAGAAAAACGATTAAAATCAGATCATTCTTTGGAATGAGCTATATTTGCGCACCTTGTAGGTTGTGTAACATATATAAATAGTATATGTCACATGACAAGGTATGCAGTCATAATCTCTTCAATAAATTATAAATCTTCAGAACTAAGATACTGTCTGCGGTTGAGATATGGTACCCAGTATTGCACCAGCGAAGTTTGCGAGTGGGGCAGAAGTGAGAGGAAAATTGTGGATAGGATAGAGGGATCCTGATTTAATGCTTCTTCAAGCGCAACCTCAAAGGTACTCGTTCACATGGATCCAGGGCAGCGATCAGTTGTGGCAACCATATCAATGCGTGACTTAGACCTGAAATACGCGTTCTATAGGTACTCAACTGAATTAGATTTGGAAAACAGAACAACCCAAGAAAAGGTCTCTCCAATCGTATGCCAAATCTATGTATAGAGTGCCCCAAAAGTATGTATACACTGTTTGATCGTTAATATCTCTCTTCCCAAAAAGTCTTTTGCCTAACAACAGGTACCATTTTGTAGAGCTGGCTTTAACTTACAAGGGAATGAAGGTGGGTCGAAGTGGCCTTTCAATATGATATGTATACTGACTTGACGGGCTCGGGACGCTGATTCCAAATCTGCCTTCGCTATCTGCTGGAGGCCTCTGGGTGAAGAGTTATGAGGGATTTTCGGGGCCGCAGCGGCAGAGAAATGCGTTCGACACCGGCAGTGCATTGTGTGCCTGGTGGTCGAGTGGTTAGTGAGACGGTCTCTGAAGCACATGCTCCCAGGTTCGATTCCCCCCAGGCATTTTCCTTTTTGCATTCTTGCAATAAGTCCATACAGATGCAAGATTCGTCTCCACGCAATCTTTTGCTTCTTTTATGGCAATTTGAGCCGGATTTCTTGTGTTTTCGGAGACTTGGCAAGGGGGGAGGGAGGCCAGTAAATTTCAATTTGTTTGAGTGTTTCTCTTACTTTTGAGTACAAAAAAACTATTTAATATATCTTGTAAACAAGTGAATCGAACTTTATGAGCACTCATGGAAGGAAAGGACAAAATGTGCAAAACAAAGGCATTTTTCACAATGAGAGCAGCGAATGAAAAGTACTTCTGTACAACCTGGGTAGTCACAGTCTCCAATCAGTACTTTTCATTCGCTGCTCTCATTGTGAAAAATGCCTTTGTTTTGCACATTATGTCCTTTCCTTCCATGAGTGCTCATAAAGTTCGATTCACTTATTTACAAGATATATTAAATAGTTTTTTTGTGCTCAAAAACAAGAGAAACACTCGAACAAATTGAAATTTACTGGCCTCCCTCCCTTTGTTTTATAACCCTTGCCAAGTCTCCGAAAACACAATAAATCCGGCTCAAATTGCCATAAAAGAAGCAAAAGATTGCGTGGAGACGAATCTTGCATCTGTATGGACTTATTGCAAGAATGCAAAAAGGGAAATGCCTGGGGGAAATCGAACCTGGGAGCATGTGCTTCAGAGACCGTCTCACTAACCACTCGACCACCAGGCACACAATGCACTGCCGGTGTCGATCGCATTTCTCTGCCGCTGCGGCCCCGAAAATCCCTCATAACTCTTCACCCAGAGGCCTCCAGCAGATAGCGAAGGCAGATTTGGAATCAGCGTCCCGAGCCCGTCAAGTCAGTATACATATCATATTGAAAGGCCACTTCGACCCACCTTTATTCCCTTGTTAGATCTCCAGTACGGAGCAAACTACCGATCTCCCTTCATCACTGTAAGATGACGGTAGGAATATTTGGCCTACAGCGTCATTGTAGATTAGTCGTGTTTCGAAAAGTTTCCAAAAACTCTGAAAAGTGCGGTGTCAGGAAATTTACGCACGCTGATTTCATTCATTGCCCAATTTTTCAAGAGTTTGTTAAGCTTTTTAAATGGTGTATTCACAATTTTAGGGAGCATTATAAGGACAACTATTGCGGTTTACTTGGCATAAGTTATTAAGGAAGCATTATGGTAAAATGCAAAGCTCATATTGTTTTAGCGACCCTAAATAGCCTAGTATAAGAGTTTCCAGTTGTTTGGTTTGCTCTCTGAAGCGAAATAGGGCCCTTAACGCCTTAGAACCCTTCTCGAATTTCTACCATAATCCTACAGTAACGAGGAAAAGCTGCTGGTTTGCTCCTTGCTATAAATTGAAGTTGAAGCCAGCTCTACAAAATGGTACCTGAAGGTAAGCAGAAGACTTCTGAAGAGAAATATCAACGATCAAACAGTGTATATATACTTTTGGAACATCCTGTGTAAAGAATCGTTGTGCCTATTCACAAAAGGTGAGATTGCGGGAAACCGCGCGGCTCCGGCAGCGAAAGCGCCTGCATATCGAGCACTTGATGATTACCGGTTTAGTCATTTGCAGTAAAGCCTGGTAGATTTTCGCTCAATATGGTGAACTGCTGTGCCGATGCCGTAAAATTTGTGCTCGAACGAATAGCCATGGAGCAGTGGCGGACCGCGGGGGGGGGGGGGTGCAATAATGGGTCGCGAAATTTCTGGAAGTTATTTACATCTTATATATAAAGCTGAATGTCTGTATGTATGTATGTATGTATGTATGTATGTATGTATGTATGTATGTGTGTACGTATGTTCCGAATAGAAAATTCCATTTCTGAACCGATCCGGACCAAACTTGGCACACATACACTTCGGTCCCCGGCGGGTGTCATAGGCTACTTTTCGTCATCGATCGATATCGATTTTGTCGATTTTATCGATTTTTTTGCAGAGTTCACCCACGGGGCTGGGAGTTCGCACAGGGGGTAATCGAGCATGCAGATTCCGAATACAATATTAGTTTTCAAGATCGTCGATTACTTTTATCGATTTTATCGATTTTTTTGCAAAGTTTGAGCTACGGGGCTGGGAGTTCGCACAGGGGGTAATCGAGCATGCAGATTCCGAATACAATATTAGTTTTCAAGATCGTCGATTACTTTTATCGATTTTATCGATTTTTTTGCAAAGTTTGAGCTACGGGGCTGGGAGTTGGCACAGGGGGGTAATCGAGCATGCTGATCATCCCCAAGGGGGGTGATCAGCATGCTCGATTACACGCCTGTGTCAAATTCCAGCCCCCTAGCTCAAATTTTCAAAAAATCGATAAAATCGATAAAAGTAATGGACGATCCTGGAAACTAATATTGTGTTCGTAATCAGCATGCTCGATTACCCCCCTGTGCAAAATCCCAGCCTCGCATGTCAAAATTTACAAAAAATCGATAAAATCAATAAAAGTAATCGATAATTCTGAAAACTAATATTGTATTCGGAATCCCCATGCTCACTTCCCCCCCTGTGCCAACTCCTAGCCCTGTAGGTGAACTCTGCAAAAAAATCGATGAAAATCGGTAAAATCGACATCGATCGATAACGAAAAGTGGACTGTGACACCCGCCGGGGCCCGAAGTGTATGTGTGCCAAGTTTGGTCCGGATACGGCGGAGCCGGGTAAGCCAGCTAGTAGCTTATAAAAATGTGCAAGTGACTGATTTTCACTTTTAAATAATTTAAAATAATTTCTAGCAATCTTTTAAAAATTCAAATTAGCCTTGTAAATAATATTTTTCGGGGGGTGGCGGCAGTCCCCCCGCTCTAGAATTTCGGAGTCATGGGCCCGCAGAAATGGAAGCATCCCACGAAAGAATTTTTGTTCACACGCACTTACCGCACATTCTCGGCTTCGCAAGCACAATATTCGACCGAAAATCTACTAGATTGTAATTTCTTTCGAAGCAAGAGCTTAGCGTGAATTTGGACTCACCTATGATATTTACAAGATACACTGTTTGAAAGAAAACTCGAACGAGGTAGGCAGGTACAAAAGCTGTGGATGAAAGTCCAAATAATGTCGAAGTCACAGCCTGAGTGATGGGCCAAGCAACCGAGCACAGAGTATCGCGGACCTTAGAAATACGATGTATATTTTACAAGAAATTTTCTTGTGATAGCTAACCTTATCTGCGGCTCTGGTATATTCTGAGCGATGATATCGATAACAGATGTGAACTGAATAGTCTACAGCTAATCCGATGGCCATGACGATGCAACCCATACTAAAATGTGAAAAAATAGACGTGAGCGAAATTAAGCATCTTTTATAGACGTTTTTTAGAGCGCAAAATAGTTCTCGTCGAGTGTCGACCGCAGGGGCTGGTTGTAGATTGCGGAGCACAGGCGGCGCGGTCTAGTTGTCACGAGAGCACGACTTGTACAATAGCGATTTATACTGGTACAAGTGGTTGGCCGCGGGGGCATGCTCCACAATTATGTCCAGTTGTGTCAATGACTCCAATGTACTCCTCTTGTTTATAAAGTATAGTAGAGTTACTACCTGACAGAATCGAGATCAGATCCAAGCATAGCTAAACCACCACAAACGCCCATAGATATTGACAGCAAGGACCATGTCATAAGGAAAACTGATTGCTATAAATGGGTACCACTACAACAGAAACAATTGAGCTGAATGAATGCAACTCACCGCATCCGGCAAAAAGAAGAAAGAAATGAGCGCCATCATTGCTAGAGCCGAACCAATCGTTTGCATCGACGATGGGGCAATGGTATGACGTTGGTCGATGAGGAACGGACTGGAATCAGAATTTGGTAGAAGAGGATGTTAAAATATTTTCTGAGCTAAAAAGTATATACCTGAATATGCCGGCGAGGAACAAGTCGAATTCCGGATACTCTTCCAGAATGGCTCTCCAACGGAAAAGTTCGGCTCAAGTAAAGCGGATAGGAAATGACATGAAGAATTTGCTAATTAGCCTACTTTGTCGCTTATCCCAGCTGTCCAAGCCATAAAATGACGTTTCGAATGCGAATGCAGCTATGCATGGTTGTCCATTTGTAACGTTGTTGAGAATCTTTACTTGCTCTGAATCATGGAAATTTCATTCGAATAGAAAATCGAAGAAACGTTCACTCACGGCGATACTGCGAATAATCCATCTGGTTGAAGAAATCTCTAAGATACTTGCGGTTGTAGAAGTCTCTCTGATAGTCAACATCAGGAAAATCGTTAAGATACTGCTGATATTGCCACATCCAGAAATTGGTGGAAACCTGTGTTTCTGTCATTAGCAAACAAAAAGGGGCATGGACTTGTGCTGATTAAAGGCTCACTCTTCCTATCGAGTAATTGGTGTGCTCCAAGCGATAGACGAGTTCGTTCAGACGAGCTCTCTTTCCAGCATCGCGGAGATCTGGCGGATTCATAACGTGGAAAATTGGCATCACATTGTCGGCCCAGATGTATTTGTCTGAAATTCTGCAGTCGCAACAGAAATAATATGTGAGAATAAAATCTTTGACATTTTTGCAGAAAGTAGGATACCAAGACCAGTTTCAAATAAAAACTCATAGGATTATGCAAGACATAAAGCAAGGATTTATCATTACAAAGCTTACCGGCTAACTTTACAAATGTCTGTATAGGAGAATTGTCTCGTATATATTTGACGGGGCTGATGTCCACCTCAAAATATAAGCATTCTTGCTGTAACATGAAGATCAAGAATTTACGAACATACCTTCAACATGCAGCAACCATACAATGATACGCATGTGTATGCAATAAAAGCTATCCAACTGATAACACGTACATCACGTCGCAAAATAAATGGAGCAAATTTCTCGCCGAAGAACTTATGCATATACGGTACTGAAACGAGATTTTAGCATGAATACCATCTGAATTTTCGATTTCGAAATCTCACAGTTGGCTGACTTCGCATGATGGTGACAGTTGATTTCTATCTCGGTGATTTTCTCCGGTGGTGGCGCAGTGCCAACTTCGGGATTACCTTGAGATACATCCTAAAGTTATCTGAATATTCAGTTTGTCTCTTTGGTAGTGGTTTTGAACAGCTTATATCATTTTTATAGCAACATGAAGCCAGTCCTCCTGTCTCTTCCTTGCGACCAGAATAGCACAGCACCGCAGCGAAAAATGTGATCTACAGCAGATGAATTGATAATGAATTTGGTTGAGAATGTGCTCTCACCTGCATTAAATAGTCAATTAGTACTGCCCAAGCTGTAATCAAACAGAAATCGCCAACAGCTGGTGTGGAGCACATGAAGTATCCCAGACCTGAATATGTCCATATCAACTCGAAATCGTGCAGGAACCGGCTTTGAATTATTTTCGAATATTTGAGAGTGAATCTGAGAGGACCACTTGCCGAAGCAGAAGAAATTTGTGAATGAGGTTACAGTGACTGATGCTCCGGCGTCAGCCATAACCAGGGCCATTCGTTGATGTAACGGTATCCTACTATCCAACTCTCTCCAAGCAGCTATCATGAGGAAGTCATCGTCAATACCTGTAAAGTTCTTCTTAGATAGAGACGTTGCAAGTTGGTTACTTTACTTACCAACAGCCAACACTAAGAATGGCATAGTTGAAGTAACGGGGTTGAATGCAAGACCAAGGAAGAAGAATATTCCAAATGTTGCGATAAGAGCCAGAATGACTGACCACACTCCAAGATACATTTCCAGTGGTTTCGATCTGAATTTGAGAATATGCTGGTATCGAAAAGCAGCAAGGGTGATTTACTTCTGCCTGTTATTACTCCAGTTAGAAAATACCACATAGATCATGAGCATAATAGTTGCCGGTACGGCAAATGGCACAGTTGTCTCGATAATTTTCATCATCTCGTCATCCATAGCTTTGTCACTGTAGAGAAAAAGAAAAATATATGGGCAAAAAATGTGATATATCCCGTGTTAAAGAGATACTGACTCACTTGTGAGGAATGAACTCGAACTCGGTTTCTTCCATCACTTTCTGCCAGAATCCCATCAAGGTTTCGCGATATTGGTAGTATGCCGCATTGTTCTCCGGTGAACCTGGATACTGGATAAACCTAAAGTAGAGCAGAGTTATGAGCAGTAAGCAGTTGGACAGTTCACGAACCAATGAAGGGTTAGTACTCGAGCTCCTTGAATCTCGTTCTTCTCTCCTTTCACGTCTACACCGTAAATGACCTTAAAATCCCATACTCCTCTACATAACTTGCATTCCCTGCCTAAATGTTATTACGTTTCCAATATCCTTCGGTCTGTTGAACAGGTAAAGCACAGGATATGACAGCTGAAGATTAGGATTCGTCTTGATTTTGCCGTCTTTGAATAACACGTCCGCATGTTTGATCCACACATTTAGATTGTTATCGCATTCCTGCAAAATTTTAATTGCGTATGCGATGTGATTGACAGATCGCTTACCGTCTCAACACTGTCCTTTTGGCAAAAATCTTCCAAATCGTAATGTGCACCATGAAATTCCATGGTCACTTTCATCATTTTGTTAGTGTACTCGTATAATGGTCCAAGATATTTGGACTGTAGTAAATTATCGAAATTTTTGTGAACCACATAAAATCGCAAGATATCTTTCTTTAGCGGCGCTGAAATAATTTAGCTAAAATGAACGGTCCATAATCTCAGATATGCCGATACCGTTAGATTTTTGTACTTGTGCTTTCTTCACCATCATTTCCTCTTTATGATGGTCCATCTTTGCTTGCCTCCTAACCCTAGTTATGTTTTGATCAGCTTGATCGAAGATCAATCGTTCCAGGTCTAATCGAAGTCGCTCCATCTCCATGTCCTCGATACCCAGGATTTCACGCGGCAGTCTTTTTTGGTTACGTTTTCCTTTAACGGGTCCGTTGAGAGTGAGGTCCCCCGACGGCATTTTGTTGAAAGCTTGACTTCGCTCGAATTCTGACCGAACCTGTAAAATCCAGATTTCTATCTAAGATCTTGCCTTCCTCTCTTGAAATATGTCTTCTGTGTAACGCATTCATTATATGTTATATGATTCTCGCTTCCACTTGGCTGCTTGTCGCTAAATTCTACAGGCAGAAAATTCCAGTAATAACAGGTTTATTTTTCGACAACTTTATAATTTTTCCTTAGCTATTGGATAGTGCTAGTGGATAAAGTAAATTGCTTGAATATTATTATACCGCTAAGATACTTCCCAATCTTCGGAGGCACTCGGCAAATTGGCTTTAGAGTCTTTGTTAATTGCCTTCAAAAAGCGTCTTTTTGACAACAAGATGTATACACGATTCATAACACGCAAAGACTAAGCGCCGATGCGCCTGGCTGAGATAGTTCGTGCTTGGGAGAGGAGCAGATGGTAAGAGGAACATAAGAGTGCTCGATTAGAGAGACGCAGATATGTCCGCAGTCTTTGCGTGCTATGAATCGCCCATATAATTCATATTTTTGGTCTTCCTATGTCCACAATGGGCGAAATGGAAAAAAAAGCGAAATCGAGAATCTGTCGTGATGCGTTAAATTTTGGAGATTCTTAGAAAAGTCTGAATAGTTGTCTAGTTTCTTAGAAGGGTAACCCGGTTTTATGCTATAATTTTGAATTTTTTTGAAAAATTACGAAAAATGGAAAATATGGCTCAAAGTTTTAAAATTTAATCTATGTTATGATTACTAAACTCTGGTCGCTAACACTAGTCGAAACAAAAGGGCTTGGAATTTTTTTTTCTAGCAAAGCGCGGTATGCTAACTTTATTACGTTCTCATAGAGCATCGCTAAGTCGTGTGACTAAGCTTTAGCTTGTTTCAAAGCTGGTTCTAATGGCACTCTTGAAGCGCTTTGAACGCTGCGTCCATCATCACAGCACTACGAGAACAGGAAGAACCGCGAACGATGCAAAAATCGCAAAACACATACCGGTGCATCGGTGGGCACAAAGAGTTTGTAGAGATCGAGATTGATTTTCAGGTAGAATAGTCCAGGTGTACAACATGCTGTGAATATGACCGGACCCCAAAGAAACCAGAATGGGTATTTTCCGAGTATCAAGCCATACTGATAGAACATCTCCACCATCCAATCCTCGAATTTCTTTCCATATTCGGACAAAAGTGAGGGCATGGCCCTGCAATCAGTAACTCATGTGTGATATGTCGATAAATGGATAATTAATAAAAAGATAGATGAGTATTAGGTGAAAACAGTTTGTTTTCTGCATATATCTATGATTTATCACTTCTTAGTTTATTTGCAAGAGAGCATTTCCACATTGAGTATTATAGACTTTCTCTGCTAAATGTCTCAATAAGTTAAGTTTCCAAGCAATTCCGTGCTACAATGCAGTTGACCATCAGAGTCGTTCTGACCGTAACCTACTTCAAAACAGGTTGCCACGAACTTGTTACTAGGTAAGGTTTAAACGAAAGTGCGTTGTTTCGAGACCATGAAAGTCGCATGGCGAATTCGGTCATCGTCTTACTTTCTGATTTAGTGTGATGGTCAACTGCACCGAAGGAATCGCCAAACTTTTTTAAATTCTCAAAATGGAAAAGTCACTTCATAGAAATGTGAATTTTGTCTGGTTAGTTGCTTATTGGGGGGGGGGGAGGGAAGGGGGATTGGAATTGGGTTAAAAATATTGACATGTAGGTAGGACCAAGAGAAGTGGATAGATGATATGAATAGTCTGGCGGTTATACGCACCGCATTCCCGATTTGGTTAGATCGATGACGTCATCGCAATTGGCTCTATCCACAAGGGATACGGAGTGAAAGACGATGATCAATACCAATGTGGGACAAATCCACGAGCGCTAGGGTTAAGATCAACGAGAGGAAGTGAAATGTGAGATAAGACGAGTGCGGGGCTAACGATTGTCGCAAGACTGTCAAAATGGGTTTTACGCAATTCCAAGTAATAAAAAATTGAGCTAGAAGCGAAGCGAAGAATTCGATGCGATGTGTGTGTGTGTCTAGCAGATTAAACGATCTGCTAGTAAAATGTCAAGGTCGTATTCAAATTCACACAATCGGGAGCGGCACCAGTAGAGGTTGAGGTTAGCGGAGGAGGCGAAAGCGAGGAAACTTCCACGAAATACGCCCACCAAGCGCCATAACAGGGGGCCCGAATACAAGCTTAACTGGCTTGTGCTAACGACGCGGAATACTTGCTGATTGCAAGCTGTGCATGTCTAAGAACGGCACTGTGCGAGAAACAAGCATTTGAACAATACCATTTGGCGTTTCAAAGCCCCATAGTTGAGACCGGGCAGAAGGGGATGAGCAAAACATTGGCTTCAGCGGGTTACTGTACCACAGATGGGTTCGTTCTTTTTTCAGCAGCTGATTCCGTGTTTGTTGAATGACTCGCCATAGCTAACTGCTCAAAAACGCTAAGAACTAAGTGCAACAAAAAGTTCCTTGATACGTCGTAGCGGACGCGTTGAACGACGATTGACCTCGTTTCGTCGTCTGTACGGGCCCCATCGCTGGCCAAGGCTGGCCGCACTGCACCCCGTGGTCAAGAATTTCACGACTTCTACGGAGATGGCGTCATGCGCCTGCGGGATCACCGCACACGAGAGATACGGTTAGACTGGGATAGCAATCGAATCAAAAGAGTAGAGAATTCTTATCACTTCGTCAATGTGGAATTTGATAAAGTCGGGATCTCATAACAACTACACTTCACCATTTAATGAAAATTTTTATCACAAAAAGCAATAAACTGTTTACAAACAATTTTGAGTACAAAAAGTTGCTAGGTTTTTTAGCTCTCGTCATACGAAAGTATCAGGTTGCACCAAAACGTCTAATAAACTTTTGTTTCAAAAAGATTTTTTTCATATTGTAACTTTTCATTATAACAAATGTCCTATTTTATCATGTATGCTAGAAATTTTATTGAAAAAATCGGATTGTTGGCTCAGGGCTCGGATTCTTGATACCGTTTTTGGGACAAAAAGCAAAGGGAATGTCATTTTTGTGGGTCCGAAATAAGGTTTTTTAGTCGACGTTCGTCTTCTAGTCGATTCGGATATTTTTTGTAAGCATCAAAGGGGACTTCGTGAAATTTCGCGAAAGTCAGGTGGACTTCGTTTTTCTTTGCATTTTCGGAAAGCCACCTCGGGCCGAGCCTGTTGACTCAAAAAAAAACTCGAAAATCATTGCTACTCCTAAAGAGTCATCTGATTGAACAAATTCTTTTATTTGAAATGATTCAATAGTGAAACCAAAGTCGAAAATAAAATTGGATTCTGGTGGGCCACTCAGCATTCCTACCGATTGAAATTTGAAAAGAAAAACGAACCAATTATTGCTAATTATCACCTAATATGTCCGTGTGCCAATATGGCTTTTTGTGCAGCAAATTTGAAAAATTCTTTAAACTTTATTGATTTAGACGAAATTGTTCGTAGAGAAATTTTAGATTTTTTTTCTCATTGCAAGAGGACCAACGTAGTTCATACATGTGTCATTGTAAATGGATGAATCAATTTGTGCGTTAGCAAGTAATCGCAGAAAAATGTAAGTTAAGTTTTTAAGTTAAGTATTGCGATCATTTCACCACATTCCAAAGTGTGGACAAAAAAAAGAAGGTAAGGACCGTGGTGAACAATTTTACAGTGCTCGCAGAAATGAATACATAGGTGTCGCAGTCGGTTGACTACTTTCGGAGATTTATCTATCCCATTGTCGAGGGATCACATAGTGAAAGTCGTCGTTTGACCACGAAAACTGAACAAATGTAGAATTGAGAAGAATTTTTCGGTAATTTCCGTGCTTGTTTGAGGACCTATACAATGATTCTAGCTTTCAAAATGACGAGGTCGTGGTTTGTTAATAAAAGCCAATTATCAGCTCGCTTTTTTTTGTAAAGACGGGATTCAGCTGCCTCGAGACTGCTGCACAGTCAAAACCGCTTTCGATGGGCTAATTGAAAGCTGGTGAACTGGACATTTTGGACGGCTCTTTAAGGACGTGATGGATGAACGGTCATGAAACGTTCGCGATTTGAATGGGAAAGGATTTCAAAAGAGGTTGGCGCAAGTGCACGATTTTCGCTTTCATAACAAGTAAAAGTGGAGCGAAAACCCTTTTTTGTTGTTTGTAGAATATTAGCAAACTTAGCTACTAAGCCATTGCTTTTTATTGCCTTATTATACATAACACCCCCCCCCCCCTCCTCCTCCGTGACGCAACCCACTGTGCATATGCATTATGCTTTTGATTCTTCAAATCCATTAGCGTACCTCATGAGATTAAGCAAGAATGCTCCATAAAGCAACTTATGAGTATCCAGTCAGCTAAAGCGCTGAAAAACCCACGAAAATCCAGCTTGGGTGACTTCTAGATATTACGTGGATTTCCAGTTCTGCTGTTTTTTCTTATTACGAATTATAGCACAGTCCTCCGAAAGTTCTTTGTATGTTTATTGTGGCTAATGCAGGAAGAGTGGATCGGGAAAAATTGCAGAAATAAAATGACATTTATTTAAGGAAATTATGAGTAATTGTTGTGCCTAGCAATATGTATACATTACAGAGTGCTCTTCCACTCCTAGGATGAGCTGAAATCAGCTTCGTAAAGGCAAGGCAAGCAGACTGCGAAGCGGATTCTACAAGCGAAAATCTTATGGTAGTCAGTTCCTATGGGTTTACTATTTCAATTTTGTATGTATCATGTTTGTACTCTAAAAGTTGCGTTTATAGGCAATAAAATTTTTGACTTAATTTACTTTGTTTGCCAGAGTAGTGTTCTGTCCACAGCTTATTTGTTGATTTGCTTGCATAATCAAAATTTTCAATCAAATTCTATGTGAGTACTAATGCGGCAATGACTGTGTTCAAATTTAGTTAAGAACTTGTATTATGTAAATCAAAATAGTTGATTTGCCCCGATTCTCGCAAGCGCTTCCAATCATCAATTATCGTTCCTCTATACTGATGGTTTCCAAAACCACCTATCATCTATCTTCATAGCCTTCGTCTGTCTTATTACTTGCTAGCTTGAATCTTTTGTGGAGCTCAGATATTAACACGTTGACGACAGTGCCGAGCAATGGTGTGCGCCAGGCAGTCTGTCCCTGTGGACGACGCCGCGCAATGGTGCGCGGCGGCCTTAAATTTAATACTATCTGTCCAATCCTCTCAGTTTTTGTTCATATAATCAACATAGGCTCGGATGTACTTCATGTATTAGCCCCGCCCCCTTTTGGCAAACCCCGCCCACTCCTATGCCTCTCGCAAGGACCCCTTTTGTCCACAAAACGCATGGATGAGGCTGTAGATGAACGCAAAGACCTCAAGCAACTTTTAGCTAGGCCCCGCCACCGTCAGGCAAACTCCGCCCCCCTAAGTGGCAAGCTCCGCCCACTTTTCAAAAGTGGCGGAAATCGCATAAATACTTGAAATTTGGGCAATTTCCGACATTTTTCGTCGAGTGGGCGGAGCTTGCGAGAGGGGGCGGGGCTTGCACATTTTGTACTTCGTGCATGGATGCATTCATACATACTTGGGCCATGCGTAGGGATGCATGGAAACGTCTCGTCCACAGGGACAGACCTCAAAAAAATGACTCGTCGTCAACGTGTTAAACTGGGAACTAAACCATAAGAATTTGTGACAACTCGTGGCATGGCGAATGCAACTTTGACCGAAATTTGCATGGAATTGAAAAGAATGAAAATAGCACTTTACGTGAAGAATAAGCTTTATTATTTTCTTTGTGTAAACTGCAATTTGGCGGCAGTAATGATCTTAAACAGGAAATCTTGTTCTTTTAAACATAGTTTTATCGTAGACTAGCCCCCAATGCCAGGAATTTTTACTCACCACTTGCCAGCGCCTGAACAAGTCATGTGTAATAATCATCACTCAGCACCAGAGATTTCTCTTTTCAACATCTTCTGATCTTTATGAGCATGCAAAAAAGTTTGTTGCTCCTTTCAATGTACAAGGAGTCGGTGCTCAATTTATTTATTCAAAAATAAGCGCACCTTGAAAGCACAAGTTCAAAGAAGATTAAGTATACACACTCACGTGGTTTTGGAAGAAAAAACACTGGCAAGAATTACAGGACTATTCTATTTAAGTTACTCAGATCTTCGTGTGCTCAAAAGCAGTGGCTCGGAAAAATTGCAACTGCGAGCTTTCCATCCCTTCTTGGTCTTCTCGATGTGCTGAGTCCAGGGCTGCTTGAAAAGTCAAAAAAATTTTTGTGGCGTTTTTCGGCCTTGAAGCTTGTTAGAGGGGTTGGACGAGCTATTCCCGCCAAATGAGTCGCGATTCTCTGCCTGAGACGATTAACCAATTGCCGCCGAAGTGGGTGGAGTTACTGTCTCCTGCAGCCAATCGCTGCTTTTGGCGGGAATCTCTCCTCCAGCCCCTCCAGCAGTTGTCATCAGATACCTGCACGATCTTACCGTTGGAACAAGGGAGATAAGGTTTCCCTAGAGCTTTCCATACCTTTCTGAGCTTACCAAACACTTTCTGAGTTTACCATACACTTTTCTTTGATTACGCAAAGCTCACTACATGATGATCTGTAGCTGAACATTGATTCGTCTCGAAGATTAGGAAAAGGTCTAGCCCTAAAAACAAACAGCAGCAAGACTTATTCTTCGCAGAATCGAGAAACGCTCGGAAAGTCACAAACTTTTTCCATTTCTTTTCTTCACGAGATCAATGATCAGTTCAATAGCGTTTCGCGGGATGAGCGGCATTTAGAAAATTCCTTGCCGCTTTGAGCTCGCGATACTCAATTGAATCATAGTTTTTTTTTCGCTGTTAAACTAATTAACTTATTCATACCTCCTGGGTGTAATGCATGATTCAATTTTTTCCTGCACTAAATCACAATTTCGATTTTGGTGCCTTCTGCTACAGATGGACCACTGATAAAACAGTAAAATAGTCGTCGAAGCATCACAGACACCGTGCAAATTATGTCTGCTCCAGCGCCAGATTCCGGGAAGTTTAAAAGCTTTTTTGCGGTTGTGAAGTCATATACAGTGTAGGTTGCATGCTTGCAATAATTAACCTAGCTTATTTGCGTTTTAGAGATGTTGACACTTCCGAAAAGATGGATACTATTCCATCGGATACACTCCTAAATACAATGGATGCAAGCGTGGCCACCTCAATGGTAAAACAAGAGCGCTTGCTGAATTTTTCTCAACTCACTTTTGTTTTTCAGAATTGCCCTCCTACATTGTTACATCGTCCAAAAAGAGATATTATAATGCCTTCACTTACTGCGCCGGCCAGAGGTCAGTCTCCATGAATTCCAGTATTTTGTTCAACGAAATTCCCTGACAAATTTCTATGTTTTCATTTTTCTACTTCATTAACTTCGCTATTTTCCGAAAGCTGCGGTAGAGGGCTTCGACGTTATGGTACTGTTCTAGGGCGAGTAAAAAGTAGAGTAAAAAAATGAGATCATAGAAGTCATTCACTTGTGATTTTAATCTCTTACGATTGTTTGTTTTTCTGTTAGAGAATCAAAGATTTTGATGGATGACTTTTGTGCTGAGGATATGGAAATCTTTTGTGCTGCAGAATTGGGCATCCGCACTTCTTAATGATAATGCGCAAGCGGCAGTTTATGTAATTCATTTGTAGCCAAGAAATTCAAACAGAACTCTGCCCAATATCGTGCACTTTGTGCCAGGTGCGCTGCTGAGCAAAAATTTGGTTGGATTTCTCAGCCACATATGCATTTTATAGAATTCATTTTATGAGGAACTAAGCATACAGATTTGCCTGGAACTTGCCGGTGGGGCATGTCCGTGTATAGTCGGGATGTTTCGCTTAGGTGCACTAATACTGTGAAATACACTATTCGCAGTATGTTTAATCAGAACTCAACCTTATGGACCCTTTCCTGCTATGCTACTTTTGGTCGCTTTGAAACGAGGCCAGAACGTTTTCTTGCAGGATCAGGCCACCATTCTTGAGATTACATGTTTCACACTGGAAACTCGCAAAAGTCTCCAAAAAGGGAGAAAAAGATGATCAAAAAACAACTATGTATGAGCAAAACTCGCTGAAACCCCTCCAGAAAATGTTTGCTCGCGACTTGCAGATTTCTGAAATCGATAGAATTGACGTTTGTTATTGTGTTCATGCGGTGCTGACAACACTTGCACGGAGGTGAATTGCGCCATGCTTGTGATGAAAAGAACTAGGGCATGTATTTTCGAGTTTTTTTGCGAGCCACAGCCATTTAACACGTAGTGGCCCTACATCGCAATCTTGGCCGCACTGCAGGGCCACTAAGCGTCATCCTGCTAAACTGTAGGCCTAGTCAACCCCAACATTCTTAGGAAATCTACAATAGATTAGCAACCTGCTGATGTGAAGAAGGCGGAAGGAGAGATGTACAAGTTATCACGCAAGTGGCAACATAAGATCTATTCACCGCCGAGAATTACACTTCGCACCGTTTATGCCTGGTAAGGACCCAACACAAGGAGCCGCGAAAGCTTGCAAGTCATCCACCGAATACGGTACTGCAATGGGGGTAGGGAAATTCGGAGGTGGGTAGGGGGTACGAACTCCGCCAGTTTGACCCCGCCTTCGCTGGCAACTGGTCTTATAGCTATAGATGTTGCAATGATGTTGCATGCCGTTGCAGGACCAGTAGTCCGCAAAGGCGGTTCAAACTTGGCGATGTTCGTTCCCCTCCATTCGGAGGTGGGTTTCCACTACATTAAACATTTGTCGTTATCGCCTGGACTTTGTAAGGATTGCCTAAAACCGCCTCTCAACACTGGAAGTGTTTTGGGATTATGTTTAATTTATTTAGCAAATGACAAAATCGTGAAATGTCTTCACATGAACTTCGAAACTGCTATGTTAGCGTCTAACCTCATTTCTCGAGTGAAATCTCGTGCTATCCAAACTGAACATTAGAGGAAGCAGATGTAGAAAATCCCCGCCTCAGTGCCGCCTGCTAACCATCTGTGCTTGGCTTTGCAGATACAATCTCTTGCGCTTAAATGGCACGAAACGCACTGCATTTCACAAAACTCATTAGTACTACAACTTCAAAAGCTGTAACAAACTTGCAAGGGGTGTAAAAAAAGGACAAATTTTGCGAATGCTGTAGTAGATTATGCCGATTAACAACTCGATATTTGTGTTTATGAAGATAGTAGTCTAGGTATTTCGACTGATCAAAACAAAGAGGAGAGAATGCTTGCTGAAACATAAACTCGCCTTCCTGAACGAGAATGAGTGCCACATTGAAGTGGAGTGCAACATAGTACGTAGATGAATGTTTTGCTTATTGTCAAAAAATCCATTGAAAATTTTGTACGGGCTCACTTCTGAACAGCTTTTTTTAGCGAGATTTAATGCTATTCGCCATAACTTCACTAACCTTTTGAGCTATTTTAAACACGAATACGTCTGCACTTTTCTTTGGGCTACAAATCTTCGATTTCGCAGCTGAAGACCATTTATTGATTCATTTGGTGTTTGTAAAGAGAGCGCGAAATTTTAGTTTTTCAATAAATGTCCTCTAAGTGTAGAAATTCGAACACAATAACAAAAAACTATTTGGAAATTCCTGTCGAATAGTAAAAGTTGTTTATTCACATGTCTCTTAGTGCAAATGCAAGATTTATACGAAAGGACAGAGGCAGTTTTCCACTTGTTTTCATGCATGACGACATCGATCCTGAAAAGAGCACACAATATATTTGCTCATCCATGCATGCTTATTCATGTACTTTCATAACTATGTTTGATGTACGAATAAATCTATTTATTCAGTTGCATGTTAGAAAACTAATTATTTTTCCTACAGATGTAAGAGGAAAACAGATCAGAAATTAGCAACGTACGATATTAGCAAAAATGAACAGACAGAGGATAACCGTGTGGAGTGGCTCGCTTACGCTGGAAATATATTGCATCTCAAAAGCATCATCACGTCCTTTTGCTATCTATAATCAAACTCGAAATGAAGTTACGGAACACGCGTTTATTCGTTAAAAAGGTACCGACAAGAGCGAGGATTGTTTCCTGATGGAAATGAAAAGAGCGTTGGTCCTAAATGTAAAAATTTGTTCTTGTCAGCAAATAAGCACGAGTACAACACGGGCTACACATAGTAGAATGATTCCAATAATAGCATAGCAGTCAAAGATCCAGCGTTTTTGCACTTTTGAGGCATAGAATTTTGTAATCGAACATGCATTGTAAATTTTATTGAATTCAACTTGGTGGTGAGTGGTCATACAAATAATTTTCGAATTATAATCGTGCATTTAGGTTATTGGGTTCCCAATAACGCCCTAAGTGACAGTGATTTTTTTCGCGTTCGTTCTTTCCCTCTAAAAAAGGTGAATCTCAAAAAAGCTCGAAATTTTTTGCGCGGCCGCGAATCGCAGTTCAACGGCTCGCACGAAACGCGCTTTCAGTCTGCGTGGCTCCGACCCCCGCGCTGTTCGTCGGCGCGCCGGTTGTTGGTGGCGGTGGTGAATTCGCGCGGCGATGCGTTTGTTGCGCCAACGCTGCGTGTCTGCTTCGCCACGATGACCACTCTGGCGCGTCTGCGGCTGCACCGAGCCGTTCCGTGCCAGCCACTGCGCTTGTTTACGCGTTGATACCCTGCGATTGATTTTTCCGCTGGTCACTCAAAAGAAGAGATAGCGACCGTTGGTGCCAGGCGCGAAACGCGGCGCTGAACCCGGCGGCGCGTATTGTTCGCCATGGCGAAGACTCGTTGATTGCACCCCTTGAGCTATTTTTAGTAACACAAGCGAAAAATGGTGAAACAGTGCGCGAAAGCTAGCAGAACTTTTATGAAAGGCGCGAAGCTCACAGAATAAAAAGAAAAATTGAAAAAGTTTAACATCATTCAATAGAACGACAACTAATTGCAAATACATTTTTAGACAGCAGTAGCTGCAACAAAAGTACATTTTATTCGGTAAAAATAGCCGAATGAAAGTGAAAAAACGCGGAACTTGCTGTTCTCGTTGAAAGGAGGGGTGGAAAAAAAAAGCTCGCACAAATGCAGAGTAACAATATGAATAAATGCAATACCGCGAGTGGCATAGATGAGCTCCGGGTGAGGGAGTATCGCACTTTTTTTTGATAATATTCACTGTTGATTGATTACTAATGGGAAGAAAGACTAGCGCGAAAAATGTCGAATTTATTATAATGTGAAATAAGTGGCTCGAATAAAGAACGAGATTATAAATCATTGTTCTGCATGAAAAAGTGAGGAGTATAAATATATGTGGTCATTTTTTTTTACATTTTCCTCCATGAGGATTCTTGCTGCAGATGTTCCCTAACTTTTTTAAGATCTTGCATCATATTTTATGTGCTGTTCATAAAAAATTTCTTCTCCGCTCTGTAAAGCTCAAGACTCGACTCGATTCATTTCTACCCCCAAATTTATTAGGTGGCGGTTATTTTTCATCGTCTTCCTATACAGGAAAGTTTGAGGAGCTCTGATCATGGCGCAGATGGCCTTCGGCACTGTTAGAGAACTTCAGCATCACGATGCACGTCACGCAAAAAAAGGGGAATGATTCAAAAACTCGCGCCACATTTTGCTTGACAAATGCAACCTTGACGGTCTACAAACACAACACATGTCCTAGTCGACAATTGAACCTCATAGCTGTTCGCTATTTTTTTATGATCCGAATCGGGTCATTTGTATGATGCACTGATAAAGATATCAATTTTTGAACTTCCTGTACTCTTATCCAGCTTCGATTACAGCTATTCTTGTAAATATTGTAGATGATGAACAAGTGACACATTCCGCAACAAAACAGTAGGCCCTTGAGTTAGGAGCAGTTAAAATTGTTCGCATACATAGGGCAAATACTTTCAAATATTCTAAAGAATTCCTTTTGACCACTAAAATTAGCAAAATAAAGTGTGGTGTATAATAGAGTACCTCCCTGTGGGATTCCCTCATCTTTGGTCACGTGTTGAACTTTGTGCGAATAGAGGTACGCAATGTAGCGGTTTTTGTAAAGTACATAAAGATGAGTTTACCCCCCCCCCCCCCTCTTTCTCGTCCGGTTTTTCTTATTGATATGTGGGAGAACAAATTGACGACATTCTTTACTCGATCTCAAGGTAAAATTTATTGGAATATGTATAGTAAATCGGCTTAGATTCGCAGACATTTTTGCACCATAGGCTTCACTTGACGGAAATATTTCCTTGAAATAAGTAGAATTTGCCCTTTTACTGTATTCTTGTCCTCCTTATAGTCTACCCGGCGAACGCCACGAAAGCACTCTATGGTTACAGGTGTTGTTGGTGTAGAGCTGTGTGTATGTTCAGGAACAAGGGCGCGTGCAGGGGGTTGTTGGAAGAGGGGGGGGGGTTCGTTCGCGGGGCGTCCCCGTTCGTTGTGGTGTTGTGTTGTTGCGCGGGCCCCGTGCCACCCGCAAAACATTCATTTGCATATAGGCGTTGGCGCGGCTGGCGCGTTCATTAGGGTGCGAGCCCACCCTCACCCTCGGAAACTGGGCGCTCGCACTTTGCCGATGGCCCGTTCGGACCGCTCGCCGGCGTTCGCTTGCTGTTTTAAATCATTTCCGAGTTTTTTCTTGGCAGCTATTCCTATCCAACTACTTCTTGGGACCAGAGCATAACGTTCTAGATTTATTTGAATGAGAACCGAAGCTTCTTTTTTACTTTGTTTTAACATTAGATAGATAACAAATACCTTACAACTTACCAATAAGTCGGATTGCGCAGTAAAGCTCTGAAACAAAGCTTCTCTGCTACTTTCTATGAATTTCTTGAATTCCCTTCCTCCACCCTCGCATACTTACATATTTGTTACTTTTATATCAAATCAGTGAAGTAAAGACTTGTCTCATTTATTTCCGCTCCATGAGCGTCTCTTTCTCATTAATGCTGAGTAGCAGCTTAAAAAGAGATTCGGTCATCGAGGGTGTGGTGCGTGCTTAGAAGTTCAAAGAATTCTAAAGATCGTTGCTCTAAGGCGGATGTGACTGTGAATGAAAGTCTCACTGATTTTTCAAAATATTCCTGCTCTTTAGTTGTCTTCTCATGGTTCGATATCTTTAGCTTTTGATGCTCCAGTTTTGTGTCACAGCTGGTTCATGGCCATATGCACTAATTAAGAGTGTCTCTTCTTTATACTTGTTTTATCTACTAAAAAGCGTATCAGCTCACGATGATAAGCTGCCATTCACAAAATCTTATTTCTTTTCAATTCTAAGGACCTTTCTGCTTGGTGCAAGAGGTTTTTGTAATCTCTTGTAGAGCGAAATCGGTCTCAACGTTGTATGCATGCGTCTCGTCCTCTCAGCAATAAACCTTCGTCCTCATAATTTTATCGTATTTTCTGTTTGCTGACCTTAAGTGACCGCCCTAAACATGGGAGATATCGGACTGACCGGTGATGGATAGCGTGTCGGCGGCGGAGGTGGTAGACGGCGCGCGCAGTGGTCACACGTGAAAAACAATCTTCAGGGCTGCGTTCTCTCGTCGGGCGCGCTCGTCGTCGGCGCGTCGGCCGCAGCACGCTGCAGCGCACTGTCTGCCGCATTTGCCTCGCAGTCTGCGTGCAGATCACTCGGCTTCCTGTCGATTGTTTACTGGTTGCACTATGTTTCAATCAACAAAAGGATTTTTAGCGCGCGCGTGTCCTGCGTTGACCTTTAGTGGGGTACCGTATTATCCCTGGCTTTCGCTCCAGCCGGTCCGAGTCTGCTGGGAAAGTGGATATGGACAGCTGACTGTAATGGCAATTTCCCTGGAATCAAAGCTGGTCTCCAGGAAGTGCCTGTCACGACACAGTTAGTAGCATTCATCTGCTTCTTTTGAGGCAGAATTTAACGACAGTGACCCGCGTGAGGAAGGATTCGTTTTACTGCCGCATTCAAATGGCACCACGTTCGCTACAGCGCCCGTCCGCGCACAAAGACATATTTTTATCGAGCCACTCGACGAGGAAAACCCAGCGGAAAACCAGCTACGATAGATTGAAACCGCGCTAAATCGTGTGCGAAGAAGCTGGGCTGGCAGAGCCCTTTTGCTATCTGCACTTTGCCCGTCACTCTTGCAAGTTCATCCACAACCGAAGTCGAATCTCCATCGCTGCGCAGCTGAAGTTCTCAAGACATTTGTGTTCTGTCATTAAGACATTCACACCCTTGTCGATCATGCTCTTTTGAATTGAAAAGCGTACGCTCCTATTGTCTTATCGAAATTTACTTGATGGGGATATAACCCTATTTTTGCAAGTGCAGTTACTCCAAAGAAAAAAGCTGTACTTCCGCTTCACCTCTAATGTACTCATAAAAACCCTGCGAAGAAATTACGAACTTATTTTGCTTTGCTTCTATTTTTGCGTTGCTCTCTCGGCTCGCTAAGGGCACATCAGAGTGCAAACTTCTTTGTAATTCAGTTCGGACGGCTAAAGCTCGTGTAAACACGCTCATTTCCTTCGACACTATACTATAACAGTAATAACATAATCAAGATGCTGGAATAATGCACTCTTGTACGTAAAAAGCACTGGCTGCCAATGTTGCAGCTGCAAATTTTGTAACTGCGCTTTTTTTAATTGAGAAAGCCTCTAGAAGAAGGGGGGGGGGGGAGTGAAATGTGTATGGGACTCGCTGGCATTGCTCCAGCTTATCTTATTCATCAGTAGTTTTCATCTATCTCTGAACCCTATCAAACAGATCTACCTTCTTAATCGCAAAACTTAATTTTTTGGTGATTTGACTTTATGGATTTAACGATTTTTAACAACGTGAATGCTGTTCTTGTTTTATCTTCTGCCATGTTACCAGCCGTAAATTTGCATTAGATTTGCGTAAATTCTAGCTAGACGACCTTCTCAAGCATGTTTTGTCTAAATATGTTGTCAAGGAAGGTGTTTCTGCATAGCTTGTCAGTGATCAGTGAACTCTCTGCTGTTCGGTGTAGCCTGCGTGCAATATGCCGAGGATTTTCTAAATCGCGCTGACGTACGCGATCTCGCTGACATTCAATGAAAAGACAGAAGAAAATCCGGATAACATTTTTCTGAGAAGAAGATCTTATACGCTTCACTGCTGGCCAACAGAAGAGATGTTTGTAAATGAGCTGCTTGCGATACGTTCAGATTGCTCTGGAAATCGCATCGAAATGCCTGCCCTACCGAAGGTGTCGATGCGATGCGATCGGATAGCAGAGGCGAATCGCCACGAAATTTGCATACGCGGTTGAAAAAAGCCTCAGCTCGTCGCTTAGTCATGCATCACTCTCATTGAGCGACACGATCGTGTCTATGTCTCTGCTAGCTGGCCATTGCGCAGTAGCAGCAGTGAAAACGTTAGGAAACATCTGGTTGGTGATCGCGGCGATTTTTCAAAACCGCGCTGACCACCTCGATCGCGTCCCTCCATTCTTTCTGTCATATCCCTTCTACAGCGTCTATTGATTTGCATATCGGCCGTTATCTCTCGATTTCCTCATTTCAGCAAGAAACGAAAATGGACTGAAATTAGAAGTCCCTCTTTTCAAGCCGCATTCATGAACAACATGCATGCTTTTTTCAGACGCGGGGGTGGTAACGAGAAAAATTACCTGAACTGGAATTAGTAGACTGATTTTGCAAAAAGATTCTCAATAACCTTGGCAATTGCCCAGTGAGAACTGAATGACTTAGTTTGCGAGTGCAATTTAAAACTCAGCGAGGTTTAGTCGTGAGTGCGTACGTTCAAGCAGATCCTAGCTTCTTTGCAGCCGTGAGACCTTTCACAATCGTCGCTGCCCTCTTGCTTCAGAGTGCATTCCACTTTCCCTTCCTTCCCCTCGAAATACGTTATTATTCCATGGCCAACAGCAAGCGTTCTTGCCCTATCTCAGCTATAAGCCGCCTTACTACTTTCACTGTAACTTTGCGTGCACATTACTTTATCATGAAAATGATAATGTTTCCCGCAGCCCAGCCGGTCTCTCTGAGAGTTGTTTGTGTACTCGTTGAGGTATTTCTTGGCTTTCACAGATGTAATAGAAACCTTCTTAGGTGAGGTATATGCGGTAGGGACCAGTGTGGAATGGCACAGTGTGACGACTCGACGCAACCGCCGTCAAGTTGGAATTTGGACCCTCTAAGGGAGCAGCTAGCAGCACATCTGGCCACACACACCCCAATTCAGGTTCGTACGTTTCTTTCACACATGCCACTCCCACATGATATACTGGTTTTTGTGCAGCAGAAAAAAAAGCCACCCGAGTATAAAGTGCAACACTGTTTTCAGCAAAACATTTGTCTGTTCAATAACGCCACGGTTACAAAATCGAATAACATTTTGAATAGAAAAGAGGGGTTCTACCGCAATGGGTGGCTGTTTTCATTTTCGGCTCTGCACTTTTTTCAGATACATCAAATACATGCGCATGTCCCTTTGCTATTGAAGCTTTTGCAGTTCAGGACAATCGACTTTTGATAAACTTACATGCATTATAGCACTAGAATAGTGGCAAAATAGTATTCCGATGTGTGCGGATATATTTTGCTTTCAGTATTTAAGTATACCGAAAAAAGTTCGGCAAAAATTCATATTTTCATAAAGCAAGTCCAGCTTGTTCTTTACTCTTTCACATCGAATCCCGAGCTTACAGGCATACATATTCACATGCACACACACACGCGCGTTTCCGCTCCACACATCTGTACTCTTAGTGCATTTTTTGGGAGGACTTTGCGATGAAAACAGGCCGTGTGTGTATGCCTCCAGTTTTTATCACGGATTGCACTTTTTTGCCGGCTGAATAGCATAAAACAGAGGGTGCACTTTTGGTTATTGCGTTCCGCGAACGGGCGCAAAACGCCCCACACACACATACACACAGGCACATTTTTTCCCCTTTCACCATTGCTAACCATCTGCGAACCGCAACAAGCGATCCAATGTTCGCATGTCGGCCTTGTTCTGACTCATGTCGTCCGCATTTCTTCTGATGACACTTTCGCTGTCGTCTCGCATCAGCGTCGGGTTTTGCATAGAGGCGAGCCGAGCGAACTGCTACCGTGCCTTGTTGTAGGTTCCTCGACCGCAAGAAGGCGTGCCCGCCGCGTTCCACGCCATGCAGCAAGGGGCATGGCGAATCCCCTTCGCCGGATTCACTCCTTCGCAACCTCAACCTCTTTTTCGGTAAGGCTCGTCCGCCCGGGCACTTTCTCGCCGAGCACTGTTTCGCATCTCAGATCCGCGTGGCAGCAACCGTCTACCGGGGAATGGCCAGCGAACAATAACAAGATAAACGAGTGGAAGAAGTGGAGTTCTCTGGAGGCGCCGTCGCCGGATCTGGCGCGCCCGCGACCGCAGCTGCTCTCACCTCACTTCGGCTCTCCAGTACTGCCGGGGCAGGCGGCTCTACCGGCTGCTCATTCTGCTGAGGTCATCAAGGAAGAACAGCCATGCGAGCCCATGGACCAACACGACATTCACAGCCTCAAGGAGGTACGCTGCACAAGCTCTTAGCGTTTATAAACCAGTACTGAAAATTGCACGATATTTTTCAGGAAGGACGAAAATCTACCGAGCATCACTCTGCATCATACGACGCTTCGGCTTCACCATCGCTTAGCGGTGACGACGATGAGCGTCGTCTAGATGTTGAGAATAGTGAAAATCCGCACACAGAAGATCATATCGAAGTGGAGCATTGCAGAACGCCATCTAATCTTCGCATGCAGACTAGCATTGATTACGGTAAGTTGTGAACACTAGTTCAAATTTAGCATCTGACAGTACAAATCGAAATTACACATTTTGCTTTTTTATTGCGTGCACTAAGTAAAACTTGCACAGCTACTGTGATAGAGATCTGCGGTTTTTGATGTCTGTAAGGTGTTTTTTATCTTGCACTCACGACATTGCACGTGAGTAAACATGCTATTTATAGCCGTCTTCGAGAGAATAAGTTTTGGCAGGCAAATTCCGAATCAATCCTTTTGCTCTGTTATAAACTTTCAATACTAACTAGAACACAAGCGATGTGGATGCGATCGCGTCTTTTTTCCTCGTTTCAAAATCTGGGCTGTTTCTCATTCCAGAGACTGACGAAGGGCATGCAAATGACAACGATGACAATCAAGTGAGCACAACGACAGCTCACAAGGAGGATGAAGCCTCGTGAGTTCTTCTGCACTTTAACGCTCAAGCTTTTTCCCGCACACACGAACTTTCTAGAAAAAAGCGAGCAAAACAACTCGATCCTAAGTGCAAGAGTGTAAAAAATGTTCCTATTTTTGCAGACACCTCCTGTTGAACTTTTCACAACAGTCCTTCTCCACCAGCAGCGATCAGTCGAGGATTCAATGCCTTGCCTCGCCTACAGACAGCAGAAAAGCCAGCGATGCAAACGTGCCAACAACGACAACGCATTCAGTCACTTCGACCGTGCACAGTGCATTTTCGGATGCAGCAGATCAGCACGCTGCCGCCGTCGTGTCGACATCGGACAGCAATCGTGAGTGGCGCACTCCTTGCGCGCGTGCCGCCCGCGTTCTTGCGCTCACAGAAGCAGTTCCAGCGACCTTCTGCCGACCTCCCGGACTAGGACCCGCGGTGTTCTGCACTCCCACATCTGGGCAAAGCGCCGCTCTTGTTTGCCCAATTTGTGGATTCTCATGTAATTCGAAGTTCCATTACAATAGTCACATGAATACGCACGGTGACCACCAATGCAGCATGTGCGATTATACAAGTCGCACCGAGGGAAGGTGAGGGGCCCTAGATTTAGCGAAGAACTCGGAAATCTGCTCATGTTTCAGGCTCAAAAAACACATGCGCGAGTCGCATACGGTGGAGGAGCAGCTCGCCGTGGGCCTGGAAATCAAGCCGGCAACTCCTGCGCCTCCTACCACGACAAGTGCAGCCATTTCGGTCGTGACTACAACATCGCAGTGCTCGTCTGATACAGCCAATCTGTCCACAACGATGGCATCGCTAGTGGATGTTGCCAACATGGCAGCGGCGGCCGTTGCTGCTAAGCAAGAGGTAACGGAACATTGCTCAGGAGGCAGGTCCGACAAAGCATCTTTTTTGCAGAATCAGAATTCACTGGCAACGGCACTGTCGATGGAGAATCTAGTGGGTACGAGCGGATTCCTGAGCACTATTGCATCGACGGGACTGCCTTCAGCCCTGGATCAGATCCGAGCCTTCGCGGAGAACTCTGCACTGCTTCCTGACTCCGGCACAACACTTGCAAATGCGCTGGGTGTGATGTCTCAGGAGGCCGTGGATGGCATAGATAGATCGCCCGAGAAGGTGCTGTCACTCTTTGCTCACTACGCTTTTTTACACAGTCTCTTCTTCAGATGAACAACTCGGAACCGCGTCGCAACAGTAACGGAAAGATGAAACAGTACAAGTGCAAACAGTGTCCGCACATCTCGTTCTCCAAGGATGATCAGTGGGCGCACGCGCGCACCCACATCCCTGTGGACAAGCAGATGAACTGCCCTACCTGCAATTTTGTGACCGAATACAAACACCACCTAGTCAGTTTCGTCCCATCGCACTCATTTTAGCAATTGCAAACCGAAAAATTCTTTTGTTAATTTTTCGACTTCTAGTCGGTTACTGTAGTTGCTAAAAGTAGAAATTTCAAATGAAAAGTACAACATTCATAAGAGAAGTTTTGGTTTCTCTCGTTTTTGTTGTACAATCAGCAAAATACAATTTTTGACGTCGATTTTCACAGGAATATCACATCCGAAATCATATTGGGAGTAAGCCGTTTCAATGCAAAAAGTGCAGTTACACGTGCGTTAATAAGTCGATGCTCAACTCGCACATGAAGAGCCACACGAACGTTTATCAGTTCAGATGTATGGATTGCACCTATGCTACGAAGTATTGCCATAGCTTGAAGGTATACAGCATTCGTTAGGCAATCGCAAGATCTCACTTTAACTACTTGCTTACAGCTTCATCTGAAGAAATATGATCATCGTCGTGTTCCTGACGGTATGGACCTCGGTGACACGTCACCCACTCAAGTGAAACCAGAACCGCTAGCCGCTTATCAGAACTTTGGCCTGAAGTTGGAAGCTCCATCCCCCGCTACTACTTTGGCTCAGACACTAGGACTAAATCCAATCGTCACCAGTCAGAGCCTGAACTACGCTAGCCAGATGCTTCTTAGGCAGCACCAGGTGAGTCGTTTCTGCACTGCAAAGTGAAGTTCATTTCAAAAGTTCTTTTCAGATGGAGCAGATGAGCTCGCTGATCAACAGCCTTCCATCGCTCACGCAGCCGTTAAAATGTGCTGCTTGCGACTTCCAGACGAGTTCACAAGAAGAACTAATGCGGCACAATGTCAACCACTTCCTCAGTCAGCCAACCCAAAGCCCTATAGCCAGCCTTTATCAAGCACTGCCACAGGTATGACTGCAAAAGTCACTTTTTTCTGATGTCAGCAACACAAGCCCATACTCATCCGTTCAGATGAGCTCTTTTGCGCCACCCATTGAGACTAATTCGGACAAGAATGTCAACGTAGATACTCACGAGGAGCGTGACAGCGGCCATGTAGGTGACGATGAGATGGGCAGCACTGGCAGCACCGGAAGCCCTCACTGTAGTTCCAAGGGTATGTAAGGATTGCAGAAGTTGGTGGTATTAGAGCTACATAGCAATGCTTAGGCTCTGGAGATGAGACTGAGCTTCCTGGCAGGAAAGTCAAAGCATTCAAGCTGGATCAAATTAGCCAGCGTTTGCAGGGAAAGAGTCCAACAGGCAGTGAAGATAGTGACGAAAAGGAGGGCGAGGAGGTGAGTACAGACAGGAGATCACATAGTCCGAATTTGTAAGGATAATGATTTGTCGTTTCAGCAACACGTCGAATCCTCGGTCTCTCCAGCCCCGGATCCAGCAGCCTCCAACTCTACCTCCGTTGTTAGAGCAGTTGCTCAACCATTCCTGCCCATGTCGCCTGAAAGCAACCTGAATATCTTCCAGCAGGCCTACCTAGCGCAGTTGAATGTACTTGCTGCCAGAAGAGAGGAAGCTTCGTGGCGATTTCAGTGCCAGCACTGCAGGATGGCTTTCCAGGTTAGTTTCGGGAGATCGTGCTGGGAAGAACGAGCGCAAGTCAATGCGTACTCCTAGGATCAGGCTCTCTACAACATCCATATGGGCTATCATGGCTACGAGCACGTGTTCAAGTGCAACCGGTGCGGTCACATCGCGCCCGACTCGCTAACCTTCAATCTGCACCTGCTGCAGGCGTCTCATGAATAGACTAGACAGGCCGAATGGTCCGGCCTGGCACTCCAGGATCGACTTGTGGGGCGCCACGAAAATCACGCGTTCTTGCTCCGACATGCTGGTTCCACACGTTCTCCGCTCCTCGTCGTCCTTTTTGTTTATAGCTAGTAATAAGTAATTGACTAACTGTTATTCACTGAGCCGCATCGGTTTCAGAATTGTACATAGAGCGGGCGTTAATGCGTCGTCAACCTCATACTCCTCTCATTCCTGCGTCCCCGTACTTTGTTGTAGTGATCACCCCCTCCACCCACTTGTTGTCTGTTGTCTGTTCGGTCGCTAGATTCGCTACCACCCGACACGGGCTGTGCGCGGTTTTGCCATATAAGATTGAATTTGAGCAGCACGTGTGCTCCAATGTGTCTCTCATTTGTTCCTTGTAACTGTTTTGTTTCCTCATCGAGTTGCACGCTCCTCGATTATTCAGGGATTCGCGGGCTGCTATTTGGCTCACACAATCACACATATTGTCATGGATCTTCGTAATAATTCTGTCTAGTTGGACTGTCGTAACGGCGGCCAGCTTGTCGCGCCGCAGTCACGACATGTTCATGACTTCTAGTTGCCGTTAGCGTCTACTAGCTATTATCTCCACTACTTGCTAACCTTGCTTCGCCATCGTCGTACAGTCCGAGAGCACTTGTCTAGTTTCCTCTCTACCTCCAAGCAGAATTCATTCAGATTTAACCACTTGCGTGTGCGTCTGTACGGTTTACATACTCAGGGTTGTATCGTCGGAGCCGAATTCAGATCATTTTCTCCTCATGCCAAACTCCTCATTTTCACAATATCCTATCCTCCATTTCATACTGTTGAAGTAGTTATGTTTAAGTCTTGTATATACTATCAATACGTATTATAACTACCAAAGTCGTTCAATGTTAACTCTGAGTCCAAATCTATAAAATCCTGTCATTGCTGTCATATTTTATGCATATAATATTTATTCCTTACCTGTTGTCCATTTCAACACATCGTGTCTGTCCCCCGATTCGTACACATCGTCGATACACCTCATTCAACTCTATCCATACCTCGATTGTAACTCAAGTATCTCGTCATAACATTTCTTTGTGCCGTTCATTTCTGATCGGTTCTGTTGCTTAATGCATGCCTCTCTCTCTCTCAAATAAACGTGTTCTAAGTTATTCTGAGTTATATTCTTGTATTCTATGCAAGCGGAGCGGTATACGGATGAATGGTGTCAGTCGCTTTGCAAAAGTGCAAGCTTGAATTTGCAAATACGAATTTTTGCAGATCTGTTGTCTACAGTAGCCTTTCTGTGCACAATTTGCATAGCTGAATCGAACTAAGGTGGATTCAAATCTTGGCATGCTGAGCAAGATATTAGGGAGCATAGCTCAGAGATAGAGATGACGCAAAAAGTGGAAATGCAACGTTGAACACAGGCAATTTTCTATCAATTTTTCGTTGACCCGATCTCTTGATCTACATTGATCTGAACCTCAAGTTGCGAGTATCGTGTTTTTTTTTTGTACCATCAATCCGAAAAAAACTCAGATATGACTGAGCATCTTCCTAACCATTAGCAGGGAATCGCTATGAGTGCTATGAGTCAGCTGATAGTGGTTGAATTGTGAAATCTACCCTATCAAGTGCAAAAGTGCTGAAGACCAGATAAGAGCTGGCGTGAGAACATTTCAAGGGTACAATTTCTTCATCAATAACAAATTTTGAGCAAATTCGTACGTGATACATTGATATACTAAGAATTCTCTCAAAAATCAAATGTTCTCGTCATTTTTACCACAACAAAATGATTAATGGCATGACGGCAGTCTTATTGAACCGATCAAAGCTATTAATTTCCGTGTGAACACAAAAATGTTCGGAAACAATGCAAATAAAATGTCATCATTATGTCGTTTTTGCTGCTCAAAATTGCAATAAGAAATCGAATGATGAGATAACATAGCAAAGAGGAAATTCTTACGAAAGAGAGGAGCGTTTCAAGTCGGAAAACAGAGCAAAGTTCAAATTTGCTTGTAGTAAATGCAGGAAGTAAATTAGTTCTTAGTTTGCATTCATTGTGTATTTAGGTGTTACTTGATAATTGTTCTGAAACTCGCATGAATTTCAATAATAATATAACTCTTTTTTTATATGCACCGCTGGTTTCGAGTAATTACAAACTTGTCTGAAGTGTATGGACAATCTAAATGGCAGATGATATAGTACTAAGTTAAGAGAACAGCTTCATTCTTGAAAAAATTATGTTCAGCAAAGAAATCTCCGTTTTCCTATGCATAGTTTTTGCAAGAAATTTTTCATATATATGGTTTTTTTTTCAAGTTGAAAACACTGTTCATTTGAATTAGACACTGTTTTCAAAAGACTTTCTAATCACTTCTGGGCGCTTTTCATTACCAGATGGCAATCGCTTAAACTAGTTGACCTAAAGTTGCTTTGCACTTATGAGCTATTAGTTAGTAGGTTTACTGGAGCAACTATTAGGTTGATGCACACATCTTGCACTAAAAAATAATGATAAATAGTTTTGAAATGCTTAAACTTCGGTTTGTAGAATTTTCTTTGTAATATGTATCAAAAGTAATATCCTATAGTACAATTTAGAAAATCAATATGAAACAAAATCAATAATGAAAAATCGAAAATGCTAACTGTTTGCAGAGACGTCCAATCACTCTTCTTCTCTCTTAAAAGATGATGCCATGAAACCAAGGCAAAAATAAATTCAAGTCTTAGTAGACTTTTTAATGATTTTAGTGACAAAATAAAATTACTTTTCGGGCACATTACTCTTGATCAGCTTATATCGTTGCCATATGCTTTCAAGGAATTTTCTCTCAAGCACCTGCATAAAGTGCAAGATTTCCTCTCTCTGTTGTTTCAAATAAGTTCATTAAAGCAGGCGGGAGGTAACAGAATTTTAAAAATTTTGATGCAAGAATTATGCATCAACCTAATATAAAAAAATATGTCTTTCAATGTCATAAGATCTCGATTGTCCTTTTTTATTCATAATTTCAAGGAAACAACTCCATTAGATTTTTTTGCGAGGCGCAATGGTAGGAACTCAGCTTCTTGATCTTAGATTTTGAACATTTGGAAGCGCACATTACCCGCAAATATCCTTAATCAGCAGCTTTACAATCTCTGATTTGGGGGCAGTGACTGTTGTTTTGATGTCCTTCGTACGTGCTGACCTTTTCTTAGTGATAACAGACCGTGTCCATGAGCAGCAAAAGAGTGACTGTAGAGTATTTCCCTCGAATTGATTGCCGCTACTGCAGCTGCGGTACTTCAACACTCCTACGGCTCCATAAATAAATGGGACTCGTCACCTATACTTTATTTGTAATCTTTCTTGGGTTAGCAAAGGCACAATCACCTTCTACGCTGCAGTTTGTGGAGTTTGTGAGTTCGAAATGATTGTTTATTCGCCTCAGATTCAAGCACAAAGCTGATATTATATTGATATAATGAATTATTTTTGAGAACCAAGCTAGGTTCTTAATTTCTCCCAAAACAAAAAAAGCTTAGTGGTTCCGACATGGTGAACGATTGCCCACCGACTACGTCTACTTTCCCAAAGATCCTCCACCGCTAGTTCCGTACACGGAAGCAGAAGCTGGTGAACTCACCAACGTGGGTTTGTAGAAGTATTGAAACTCATTATATTCGATCACTGTTTTGTGGAATATAAGACAAAGTTGAGTCGTGCACTTCCAGAGAGGAGTGAAAATGACTTTTATGAGAGGAGAATTCATTCGAAAAAATTATGGAGACTTTTTAGGCACCGCTTATAAACCATCTCAGGTGAGGCAGACTTTCACCCTTATTACATGGCTCAATTTTCCAATGCCAGATACGAGTTTGGACCGGTAATGATAATCGTACTGTGGCCTCTGCTGAAGCGGTCCTAGCTGGAATTTACAAACCGGACAAAGAACGCCAGTGGTCGGATACACTGGACTGGCAACCTGTCGCTGTGCATACCGATGAGACTATAGACTGGGTGAGCTAAGAGTGAGCCCGGGTTGGCCCAAAATTTCTTTTCAGTTCTATTTTTAGGTAGGTACTGGGGTGCATGGTGTATGTCCACTATATTGGGATACATTCTTCGCTTCGTCTGGCTACCAGAACCTGATGGCTCCGTTTGATCCTTCTCTGATCCAGTTTCTGCAGAATCACACTGGGGTGGCTATACAGTCACCAATTGAATTTAACCATGTGCTGGATACACTATACACTAAGGTACAGAAGTATACTGTTCCAGTAAGCATCTAAAATAATCTCTATGTTTTGACCAGATAACGCTAAACGACACTCGGCTTCCGTACCCGCGTTGGGCGGAATCTATCCGTACATCCATACCGCTATTTCGTAACGAGTTCCATAGAAGACTAATAGATGCTCAGAATGACACGGTTGGAAGTGAGTTGGTGCTTACTCATCTCAGATTGTAAGAAATATTGAGCAAATTCCGGTTTCAGGATATCATGCTGAGCTTCTGCTTTCCTACATAGAGGATCACCTCAATCGTTCTAGCGAAAAGAAGAACAAAGCTGTGTATATCTCAGGGGTAATATAGAGTTCAAATCTTTTTGTCCTCCTTTTTCGATGCAAAAAATTATATTTGCGATTTAAGCACGACACAAACTTAATGTCTTTGGGACGACTTCTAAACATCACTTCCTTAGCCAACTATTTGCCACCGTATGCTGCTCTTCTGGTCGTTGAGCTGCACCAAAGAAATGGAACGTATTATGTTCAAGTATGTCTTACAAAGCTTAATTGTTATTGATTTCGGGTGGATGTATCTAGCAAATATTTTATAGATGCGTGTGTCTCTAACACTGCAAGATCAGCTCCAGTTGGTAGAGATCCCACAATGCAAAAATCCTTGTCAATTGGAGAAGCTTCAAAGTCTTTTGAAGGTATAGGTGATTTATCGCACGCAGAGATAGGACGCTACTGCGGACGCTGTCGGCGTCTCTCAAGTCAAACGCTCTTTCATCCCTCTACTTGTCTGCTATCTCTGCCAACTATGTACTATCTTGAGCGGACGCAACGCGTCCAATCTTGCGTGCGATGATTGCCTATGGATGATTTTGTTCTTAGATTACAACTGTTTTTTTGCCGTAGGAAAGAAATCAGAAGTAATTACATATAGTATTTCAATCATTGATTATTATCAAAGACGCTATAGGTGGTATCTTCAAAAAAGCTTGTTTATTTATTTCAGAATAGCAGGGTAAGCAGAGCCGATTGGGATCTGATCTGCCGTGGTTATGGCATTCAAAAAAGCCAATACCCGATCCTAGCTGGTAGAGTAATATATGACTCGATCTTTGATAGTATGTAACGCTACGTTTTCCAGCCTCAATTCTCATCTTACTGGCTATCTTCATTATCTCAACCGTGGTTCTTCTGTGCACAACGTTGTCATATAAGAGACAAATCAAAGAGCTGCGAGATCCAGAGCGACGTCGTCTGCTAGACGAAGGACAGCAACAAGGATACACTCGTTGAGATTTTGTGTGTATGTATATGTGCAAGTTGCTGAATAAACGCTCGATTATTGATATTCCAAAATCATCGAAAAATACGAGTGTTCGTTTCTGCCGACAATGCATACCTCGAAAATTCAAATTACTTTTGAGTGTCGCGATGTAATCAATGCGTCAAAAACGTCGCCGTGAGATATATTTTTAGATTTACACATCTTTGGATTGGCAAGTTACTGACTCAGGTCATAGTTTCTCAAGAATCAACAAACTTTTGCACAAAGAATACCATCATATGTGATTTGATTGAATTGTTCTCACCAAATGCATGTCAGATATACAGTCTGTGTCAACGATATGCTCCCTTTCCTCAGCTCATGCACAACGGCGCCCCGTGCCGCGTTCGCGGGCGTTCCGCCTGCGAGTTCGAATTAGCCGCAACGAACGCTGCGCAATGTCAATCCCTACGGACGCGTGTTGCTACGGAAAAGGAAGCACGTGGTTGACACAGATTGCATACTAATTTAAGGTGGATCACAGCCTAGGAATTTCCGTTGCTACTTTTCCCCTGGCAATCATATAGTAAGCTGATTCAACCCCTCAATAACAGATAACGTAGTAGCAATTTAGGAACTTCACTTTAGCTAAATGAGTTAGAAATCTTTTTAGATCGTGTTTATCAGCACGAAATTGTCATGATCCGAACTAGAAGGAATACTTTACGCTAATGTTCTGCTTAAGCTATCATTCACTAGTTTCTGCTTCTTGAATGGAAGTCTGAGTCGAACCAAACAAAATATTTGTCTTTTCCACTTTCATGATCTTGAACAGTCTCTTGGGCTGCTTAGAGCATCGTTTTCACAACAACTTTCCAAGAGTTTATTCTACAAAGATCACAAATCCTATTTCTGCATGGATCTATGCCACGGATCGATCAGTTCCATTTGTGCCCTTCTTTGTGCCGATCCACTCTAGAACATTCTATTGATCGTCATCATAATGATACTTTGAACCTTAACCTTTCTTGGCAGACTGCTGCGTGTTGCTACAAATCTTTTCATAGTTCCTCTTTTCTTCCTAGTTTTCGTTCAAAATGATTTTTGAAAATTAGGCGAATTTATGCTCCGCTTTGCTGTAAACTCGAATGAATCGTGATTTCGTTTCTCAGTTTTTATGTTGGGAAAAATCAATACATCTCATAGTTGCAATGAACGGAAACTCATCGAATAAACGAATATCGAATAATTGAATTTCGATAATTTTTTCATTGAACGAATATTACTCGATTAACATTCTTCATACTAATCGAATTCGAATATCGAATATGGGCACATTCCGACCCGAAGTTTTGATCCTCGAATACTCGAGTAAGCCACTTTTCCGAGTAGTGGAATGAACGAGTTATTCGAATGTTACTACTACTCGTTATTCGAATGTGAGTTACAGACCTTTCTCATTTATTTAGCTATTTGAATAATCGAGTAAATGGACTTCTTTCTCTTATTCGACTTCGAGTATTTGAAAAAATCCGACTATAATAATTCTTATGCATTCTGGCCGTTCCACGTCTTGTATAAAAAGTAGCACCGTAGATGGTGTGCTTTAGATGGCACAGCGAGGATCCGAAACTTTCTTCCTTGATAGAGTCCGTTCCGAAAAACACAGTTTCAAGACGACCTTCTCCTGAGTACCTAAAAGCGAAATTGAAGAATTGCGATTACTAACATCTATTGGTTTGTCTTCTTCTCCTTAATGCAAAGCTGTATGTTGAAAGCCCTCTGAGTCGAAGGAGTTGAAAACGGATGTACAGAAGTGGAAAAGGCAACTCGAGCTGGACCGTTTGAAGATCAATTCATGCACGAGGACTGTATACATGAAGCTGGGACTTTAAACGCTAAAAAGACCAACTCCTTCAAATGGGAAGCCGCTTCTCCACAGATGGGCTTTAGGACAAGATAATCAAGCGGATGAGTGCAGCGTGGCTAAATAGAGAAGCCTCACAGGACTGCTGTGCTAAAACGAACGCCATAGCTAAAATTTCAGAGGTACCTACCGTGGTCCATCCAACACCAACGACATTGAGAAATGTTATGACGAGATACTTGAGTTGCAGTCGAGGTGTGGATAGAGTTTAGGTTGTTGTAAGATGAGGAGTTTGGCATGAAGAGAAAATGTTCTGAATTCGGTTCCGACGATGCAGTCTGAGTATGGAAGTGTTGGTTATGAACACCTGAAGGCAGCGGCTCTGCAGAATGGCAACTTTGGGATCTTCATCGTTCTCTGCTCCCCTGGATGAGCTAAGTTCAAGACTATGCTTTGCCTTCAAAATATATCATTGACCCTCTTTTTCAGAAGTGAAAAGTGCTATTTGGGCGGACAGCGTAAGCCTGCCCTCTACAGCGCGATTGGTTCGTGAGTGGAGACACAGTACCATCTCGGCGGCAATTGGATGAATGGCTCCAGCAGCCACTTTCGCGACCCGCCCAAACACCACTTTCACGTCTGGGAAAGTGGGTTACTAATATCCTTTGAAGCTGTAAAGCACAGTCTTGGGCTTAGCTCATCCAGGGGATCCGAGGACGATGATCCCAAAATTATCATTCTGCCGAGCCACTGCCTTCAAAGACAAACGGATGCTCGATGTAATGGCGACGCGTATGCTGGATGGACGATGGGCGCGACCATGCTCGATCGTGTCACAAATGCTACAGTGCTGTCTTTCTAACTCGGAGTAGGTCCGCATCGCTGGAGGCTTTGCGACTTTGGTAGGACCAATTGGGTGGCACAACAATTTATTCACAGGGAATAGTGACGAACAACGACTGGACGATAGTGACGACTCCAGAACTTGGATCCAGGCTCTTTTATACAGCCAAATTGGGCGTGTATAGCCTGGATGCCAACTTCTGGCAAGGAATGCTATCAATGCAGAAGAGTTTCGCCTACTTGAAAGTAGGCGTCGCCGAGTGCATTATCAAGGGCCATGAAGGTGACCCGGCGGCTAAACAGGTGCATGGGCAATCTACAACTTGTCCATGACAGACAGAATGGATACATTCACATAATCGAAGACAGTCGTTAATAATATTATAATTAACGACAGCGAATGTGCAGAGCTGGCAATTTGCCAAGCAAAAAAACAGGAGAATGGTTCCGCCTAAAGTGGCTTAGAGGCACCGTCCACCCAAAATGGGGTCGATGAGATTTTGATGGCTAATAGTAGTGGGGCCCCCAACTGTATACTTATCCAATTCGCGCTGGCAGAAGTTGCTTTCGAAGCGAGAAAATCGCTTCGAAAATCGCTCGGATGACAGATTTGATACATTGGCTCCTCCCCTTTGAGTGGGCGTGACGTGCCTCGCTAATCCATGCGCGCTGAACCAATCACCGTTCCGAAGAAATCGCTCTACGGGTTCTGAAAACGGGGTTTTTTCGTGGTTTTCGCGGATTTCCGACTTAGTATTTGGAATCAGGGGTATGAGAAGGCTCTGGAACGCAAAAACATGGAGGTTGAAATTTTGGGTGGACGGTGCCCTCAAAACCGGCTGTAGGTAGCACGATAAAAATTGCTCCGATAGGAAAATGAAAAGGAGACTCAGATGGTACGCGCATGTCGACGAGAGAAAGACCACATTACAAGAGTTACAATGTCAGTGGAGGTACCTGAAAAAGGCCAAGAGAAGGGCCGAAGCTGCGATGAAGAGACAGAATCAAAGAAGACTTGCGAAAACTCGAACTAAGTGAACATCAAGCCGTAGATTGAGAAACATGGCGAAGACTATCTGAGCTCTGATATTCATAGTCCATCACATAATTTTCTATCATAACCGTCAAATTCGTTGATGTCTGGGAATATTCCACCAATATACTCAAAACTGTTTTGTCGATGTCATTCGCAATAAAAAGATATTGGCTCCTTACGACAGCAAGGAAAGACAAGCATCGGGTTTAGGAAGTTGCAAGTAACCTCAAATTTCTGCTTCACAAGCGGGCGAATCGCTGGTGATCATCAAGACATATTATCTACGGCTAGTGCTGTATTCATCGTGAAAATTTCACATTTCTTGCACAAGATGGATGCTCAGCTCCTCTCCCATAAGCAGCTGCCAGAGCCCTCCCAGAGTCGACTACATGAATAAATATCGATGTTGGTCCTTGGCAACGCCAGAGGGTGGTCGTTCCCATTTTCGATTTGATGCCATTCCTATAGGAGTTCCTCGTTCACTGCGAACGGACTCACTACTCAACCTAGCACCACTACATGACTTGTGAGATCTTTTCTTTTTACTTTTTCAAACCGTTTTTTGGCAGTTGTACCCTTTTGTCATTCACTCCTCTTTATCGACTATTTGTCAAAGCTGGAACCTAGCAACTGTAGTTGGAACCGAATATTCGTATTCGAATAATTTAGTCGAAATATCCGACTGTTCGAGTAGTCGAATTTTTTTTCGGATGCTGCATAAAAAAGGGCTTTATTCGAATCAGGGCTCGGCACGAGGTGGCTAGATGAAAATGCAAAAAACGAAGTCCCCCTTGACTTTTGGGAATTTTTACGAAGTCCCCTCTGACCCCAAACCATATTCCCTAAAACCCCATAAAATTCTCCAAATAACAAAACGTCGACAAAAAACGATGCCAATTTTGCGTGTCTTCGTCCGCAAAACCGAAACCCCCTTTGCTTTGTCCCAAAAACGATATCCAGCTTGCTTGTAAGCCACCTGTGCCGAGCCCTGATTCGAATAATTCGTTCATTCGATGATTTGAAAAAACGACTTAGAATATTCGAGGAGTTTCAAAGACAGTCATTCCATTATTCGAGAAGTTTCGGAAAACAGTTGTTCGGATATTCGAATATTCGAATATGGCATTCAGATATTCGAATATTGCACATCGAATATTGCATTCGAATTTTCGATGATAATTTATTAATCGTTTATTCGAATAGTCGAATATTCGATCATGTTCAATTACTCGAATATTCGAAAGTTCGAATTCTATATCGTGTGTCCACATTTGAATATTCGAATTCGAAAAATACGAAAATCCGAAACCGACTAATATTCGTTCTCAAAAATTTCTCGAAATTTAATTATACGATATTCATTCGTTCAGAATATTTTCAAAGTCAATTAGTCGATATTCATTCATTCGAAAAATTTCCATTCGTTACAACTATACTAGCAACTGACATTACGAAACACCTATCCTCTACAATCCTTTCAAATAATTTCCCTCCATCTAGCCACCTCTCTCTACGATCCATACAACGAATATTCTTTCGTGGAAGCAAATAAGCGACGTCGAGGTGATGTGGAAAGGAGGAATAGCGAAAAACTCGAAAATCGCTTCGCTGCTCCGGCTGTCAAGAAGATTTATGTAAAAGCAAATGGTGATCCAAGGAGTAAAAGGTTTGATCGAAATACGTAAGAAGTACAACTTGAAAATGGTAGATCTCTTACACTCTACTTTCTGAAAAAATGCTTTATTTTGTGAAAAGGAGCAGTTTTCCGTGAAGAGCTGACCGTCTGGCTAGCATTTGTACCTCATACGTTACCAAAAATTCAGACCAAAGCTCTTCATATGGAGACAGTGGCAGACCCCAACATTAGCAGGTCTTCGTGCCGAAGTCGCACCTTATGTTGGTTTGGAATCATCCTCGGCGATTTACGATATGTAAGTAAGGCCTAAGGCATACCTCACGCAATTCCGGTCGCTGGGCGATTAGACACAACAGCGGCTCTTTGTAATTATCGTTGATGCGCTTCTTTTGGTCAGAGCTTGATCCGTTTGCAATAACAATAACATACACGAGCTATCCAAATATGCATCCGAAAAGCGCGCACGATCATTCTGGAAATCTGGCACATTGCCAAATCGCGTGAATGTGGCGATTTGGCTAAATCGCGTGAGGTATGCCTTAGGCATAAGACTAGTGAACCAATAATTTTAAAGGTGCTAGATTTGCATCCGCGCGCTTCGGGATCGCTTGCTGTTCCCGCTATCCGATGCTTTCTGAATAGCGTTACGATTCTTTATATAAAAAGATAGTTGAACAGAATTTGAAACACCATGAAACGCTCCAGGACTTACATTTGCATCTCTATGTTCCGTCCTGTACTGACTGAAGCTATTTGCAGTAATGGGCATCGAATTTATTCAGAAGACGAGATACAGGACTTTGGTACGTATTACATCCTTGGAGACGAACAATTGCTGATGTAAGGCTTTTTCATAATAGTTCGTAAACATTCAATCCACAGCTCAGATTTGCACAATGTGCCTTGAGTCGCTATATAAAGGAGTTTTCAAAAAACTTTACGTAGGAGAAGGGTAGTCCTGGCGAAGGCGGATGCATTATTGTAGCGAAGCGGACGCGAACGCAGCTTAAAGGCAGTGGATTGGCAGAATGGGCCCTCCTCGGATTTTCGTCGATTCAGGTAATAGACCCCCAAGTACACTGTAGCCCAAACCCCACCTGCCAATTCACGCGCTAAATCGTGAAAAACGAGCTTAAAAACTTCACCAGCCCCGCCTCTTTTCATTGAGTGGGCGTGGCTGGTGGATTTTGGAAGAGCATTTTTCACGACTTAGCGCGTGAATTGGCAGGCGGGGTTTAGGCTGCAGTGTACTTGGGGGTCTACTACCTAAATCCATTAAATTTCGAGAAGGGTCTATTCTGCTGATTCACTGCCTCTAAGAGCGCCCATCATTACTGGCACACCTGGGATGCATGCAGCAAAGGTCGTAACCGCTCGCGTTGCTACGCCTGCGCTTACGTCATGGGCATCCGCCTTGGTCCGGAACTAGCCTCTAGTGCAAAAGGTGACCTTCCCATAAATTTTTACCACCAACCGTTACCTTAGTTCCAGTCATAGCTTTTACTTTTGTTCGTCTAGACCGGACTCGGAAGACGAATATGAAGAAGAATATCGAGAATCGTTTACTCGTGGAGGAAGGATCACGTCGCTTTCAGCTCCTGAAATGCTTACATCAAGACAATCTCTCTACGACACCGGTAAAAGAAGTCATTTCAGCAGTAATTTGGAATTGTTTACAATTTACAGCACCGTCAGTGATGACGCCTCCTCCTCGACCTTACCAGTCTGAACAAGTGTCATCTGAAATCCAACGTAAATTTCCTGCACAGGTTTGCAGTGATTCCCGTGTGACAAGCACTCACCTACACTTACGGCACTTTAAGATCCCTTCGACATCACAAAACAAAAATCCTGATATTCGAGGAAGCATAGCTGCTCTAAGCGATGGCGAAATGTATGAAAGATATTACAGAGATGCTGTCAGCACGTCAAAATCGCGATCGACAGGGACTAAACGAAGTGAAGTCTCGGCTTTGAATGTCAAATTCAGAGAGCGAAACCTACTAATTTCCCCCCCCCCCCCTCCCCCTCCTCCCCATTCCAAACCAAAACATTTAAGCCATTTATATCGTGTTGGATATATAAACAAAGGTGATCGCGCATCTTCCGCGCAGTCATTAGGTTCTCTTCCTTGCTCCGCCCTGCACACGGCCTGGCCAATCGGAAGCGCGCGACATGCAACTGCTCGCCACACGGCGCGCCTCTGATTGGTAAGAAGCTGACCAATCGCAGACGCGCCTATGGCGAGCGTTCCTGAAAGGTCGTTCGCCCACGCACTTCCTCTCACGCCTGCGCTTTTATTGTTAAGCATGTTCGGGGTGAGAAAAAAGTAGGATGAGCTTCTTTTTTTTTCTGATGGGCAATTCCAAAACGTATTCGTTTACTCAATGCTATTAAATATTTGTCACATGATGCTGAGCAAAAAATAAAATATGTTGCAGACAAACGCCAGAAACTAAGAACTGGAACTAATAACAATACCAGCCGCTACGATGATGGACGTTCTCGAAGAGATTCAAGAAGTTAGCTTTTGTTTTCGATTACTGTATTGGCAGTAATTGAATTATCTCCAAAAATATGTGATAGGATTCCCATGGTGACTTGTATCATAGCGCCATTATAAGAATCATTGGGTCGACGCATAATGACGAGAAAATTTACAAGCTCAAAAATTACTTAGCAGGTTCTGAAATTTGCTTCCATCCCGGCCACAACTTCCAACTCTCGAAGAACTTTTGCGGCTATTACCCTACTTTCTTGAATTTCTCTAACAAAACAGCTGCATATTTGTATTATTCTTTGAGATCCAAAGTTGAATACTAAACGGAAATAAATCTTCGGGAGAAACCCGTGTTCACATCTATGCTCATATATTTTTGGAATGTTTCTAGTTGATATTCTGTCCTGGCCTTATTTGAGATGATATCAAACTTATGTTAAAGATGGTTTGACGTCTAAATATTCTTGAATATTCAGGATACACTGACGATGACGACGACCGTTATGGACGTCGTCAAAATGACGGATATGTCTCGAATGCTGAGCGATCCCGTACACGAAATCAAGGAACCTTAGTAAGCAGATCTCGAAGTGCAAATGGCGATTATCTCCGGGACGAATTCATCTCTGAATTTGACACAGATTATACGAAGAGAAGGGACCAGGAGGCTTTGGCTAAACATAGACAGTAAGCTTCAATTCTGTGTTGTTTAATGACGTCAGTTTCATTTGTCACACAAGGAAGCAATCGAACCTTACGCGATCTAGCAGTGATGCCATCTATAATCGTCGAGATCAGACGCATCCGGATGCGTACATTATCTAGTAAGGAGGAAGGATATTTTGTTTGTCATTGGCAGAAATTATCACTAAATTTTCAGTGTTTTTCTCAACGGAGAGGGTATGGATTGTCAGCACATGCACTTCCAAAAGAAACAACTTGCCAAAGGCATGAACTATATTCTCGAACTCGTTGCTCGTCGTTTCAATGTAAATCCTACTAAGTAAGCTTTGATTACGATATCATGGTTCAGCTTTGGATAAAAGAAATTTCTCAGGCTTTGCGATATGGATGGACGAAAAATTACGGAACCTTCACAGCTTATGTCCAGAGGAGCATACGTTTTAGTGGCAGCAGGACAGTCATTTCGTGACACTTGGTATTTTCTACCCGACAATGCTATTGATACGAGGTGATCATATTTTTAAATCAATTCTATTTCTCGTATGTAATCTGTGATCTTCGTGCTCTTTAGCTGTGTCCAACGGTGGATGTCTTAGCGCAAACTAGCCGTCCATATTTGAGACTTCAATACTTGATCCCCAGTGTTTCAAACAATTTGCATCAGAATTTGACCTGCCAGGACCACTATCATTTTGCTGATGTTTTCTTTGAAGATGATACCACTTCAATGACTCTTGTCTCCGTTCCTCTCGGCCCAACTCCCCCTTCTTGCAAATCTTTCGTATATGTCTTAAAGTAATTTTCGAACTTACAGTTCTGATCGCAATCGTGTAGAAGAACGTAGCGACCAGAGAGACCGTCTTCTACAGCGACGAGAAAAACGCGAACGAGCAAAACTGTAAGCAAAATCCTATTTCTTCTAAGCTAAGCACCTGTTAAGCTGATTTCAGTAAATCTCAAAAATCGCAAGCGACATCGCAGCGAACTCGATACGTTCAGGACACGGTGACGCCAGGAAGAAAATTTGGAAACAGTTTTATTTGAGTACGTGCTTTCTGCATGAAGATTTACTTATTATCGTTTGGAAAAATAGCACCAGATGCTGTTCTACATCCGGTTGTACGAAGAAGTCGATGCTCAAGTACAAAATGAAAATAGCTCTTGGGTTCAAGCGGATAAAGTTGCACGTATCCGCTTTCAGAAGATTTGTAAAATGTATAATGTTCCAAGTGCAAAATACTAGCAAGTATTTGTCAGAGGTAGTACTAGCCTTCAAATTTTGTTGGAGCGGGTGCCATCTACGAAAATATTTCCAGGGTGATTGAAGTAGACCACTGTTTGATGCTTTATTTTCAAAAATCTAAGTAGAAAGTAAATCGCCATTTTGCATGATCTGTAGCCATTCTATAAATCTACTCATTAGACTAAGTTGTAAAAGAAATCTAATGATTGATAATAATCTACATTATCGATAATTCAAAATAGCCCTTTCAATCCCTCAGAAAATCACCATCTTGTCTTTTCTTTGAGCTATTATAATTTGGAGTTTCTGGGATAACAAAAGTGAGGGATAAGTTCACTTTAACATAAGTTCAGACCTTTGTTGACTCAAGCATGTGATGATCGTTGAGATTACACATGTTCGATAAGCAATCTAATTCTTTGCTGTAACAAAACGACAATAATTTTTTGAAAGCCAACTAAACGGTTTTAGTTATTTATTGAGCTACTATAAGATCAAATCATGAAGATTAGGTCGTCACGAAGTGCTATGGTTACATATAACTTCTAGCTGTTTTGGGAATTTGATTCAGAAGTCTTTTTGAAAGACCAGCTTTCTGTTACAATAATCTTGACAGCTCCTAGTAGAATACCTAAAGAGAGAGGAATGGGCGAAAGAAAAGACCACTGAATTTCAATTACCTCAAGATAGACCGTCAAAGATCTAACAATGAAAAGCTGCAAAAAATCCGAACTCGTCAATACGTCAAGTTCATGGCCTGTTTTCGCCAAAAAAGAAAAATTTGTGCTGATCTAACGTTATGAAATGTTACAGTTTTCCAAATTACAGGACAATTGATCTCGTCTTGTTTATACAGGGTGTCTTAGAAGTATTTCTTCCCCACTAAGTTTTCTTAGCTTCAAACACCATTCAGTAGAGGAGGCTTTAGCTTAGATTTACGGTACGGAAAAAATCACCCAACTTTCTTCATAGCTGTGAAATTACGGTATGAACATTGAAAAAAGTTTTGAGCCATTGGCTACATAATGCCCCAGAATAGATACTCAACGATCCAAAAACTCTATCATTAGACAAAACTACGTCGCTGTTCAAGTTCGCATACCGTAAGGCTTTTTTCACAATTTATGCCAAGTAAACCGCAACGACGTTTTTTCGGTGTTTTTCAAAAATGTCATTGGACCATCTAAAATTCTTAAAAACTCATAAGTAGTAGTCTATTGAGGTCAGACAATGCCACACGGCTTTCCAGGTTTTTTGAAACCTTTTGTTTGAACGGCCTCTCACAATGAAATTGTGTGCTGGACTTGCCATAATCCCACAGTAATAAAGGGCAATGGGTAATTCATTCATTCTGCAAATCTAAGATGAAGCCTCTTCTACTGAACAGTACTCGAAGCTAAGGAAAAGAACTAGTGGGAAGGGAGTTAATAACAATCAAAAAGTGTGTACTTACTTCCAACCTCGGGACATCCTGCAGTCATAATAAAAATCATAACATTCAATGGAAGCGTCCAGTTGGCACAAGTTATTCTTACTTACACCGAATAGGTCAATTAAAGTTTTTTTTTGCAAAGCTTCAATTTCTGATGATCTAACTTAGAATGATCGAAGCTTGATCGTGCTTCTTTCTTATCCGCTTCTCTCTCTCTCTTTCTCTATCTATTTATCTTTTTCTCCCCTCACCAGGGCTTGGCACGAGATGGCTAGTTGAAAATGCAAAAAACGAAGTCCGGTTGATTTTTGCGGCTTTTTACGAAGTCCCCTTTGACCCTAGGCCATAATCCCTTAAAAAACCTCCAAAAAACGAAACTTCGACTAAAAAAACGTCGCAAATCTTGCATCTTGCCGCCCACAAAAACGAACCCCCCCTTGCTTTTTGTCCCAAAAACGATATCCAGCTTGCTTATAAGCCACCTGTGCCGAGTCCTGCCCCTCACCCTCCCCTTCTCTGTAGCCGTTCCAATGTAGGGAGCTACCAAGACGTTATTACAAAGCCAGAAACATACTTTTCTTAGAAAAAAAAATCGAACTGAAGTACTTTCACTGAGGCAGCGAAAAGTAACAAATTTATAGAAATGAAACGACAAATACTTTGAGACGACCTAATAAATCTGAATTCCACATTACTTTCATACGCCAGGGAAACACCACGGATTCTTTTGTCCCTCACGTCAGTGGGCTTAGCTTAACGCTTGAAATCTATTTATTTTTCACAGTAGTTTGAGTAAAATACGAGGTTCGCAATTTGTAGCAGCACTCTAGAAGAATATACTAATTACCTGTTTGAATTAGCTCTTTTTAATACAAGTTACAAACATTCAGATTCGTTTTTTCTCCAAAAAAAAAATCTTTGCACGTATATCCACTTCAAGGCGAAACAAAATCGCTGCATCAGAACGTTTTTTGAGGGATCCATCGCTCTCGCTAGCACCTCTTTCTGTTCCTTGGTCGAGTTGTAATAATCGGCTGAAAGCTGTGCATGCGATATCGTGCGATGTTCACAGACGCACATCGTCGTGTGAATCGCTCAGCACAGGTGGCCATCAGCGCATAATTCGATTCGAGATGGCATGTTTTACTGTAAGGAAGACGACAATCACAACAGCTCACTCAAGAAAGAGAGTCTTGAAAGTAGCCATGCAATGCGACTAAGTGAACTCTAAACTCTATCTTAGCACTAACAATAAAACTAGCGTGGAATGTAGGGAAAACTTAGGTACACATTAGGAAATGATATACAATGCTTCACCAATGTCTCAAAGACCCGAAGGCTACCTCTATAAGTGGACGCAGGCGAACAACATGAAACAACCCGTTATAGAATGATTTTCTAGAAAAAAAAGCATATTGGCACATTGCACACGTGTTTTCACTCAAATATTGGTCGGGAACGATTTGTGGTCACCAGGGCTCCGTTATCGACAGTATCGTACACTTCTTGCGAACGAACGTTCCGCGATGTTGTAGCCAGGCGTGGAGTAGAGTGTGTCACCGGAGCCATTATGTTTACCGAGCCGTTCGCTGAAGAAAAATTGGGTGGTCGTTTGTTGAATTTTATCTGATTGTAAACTAAGTTTTGATCTTCACTGGAATATATCCATTGCGTCCGATCAAAATAGTTCGTGTATGGGAGATACATCAGGTTCAATGAGAGTGCGTTCCATATGAGAGACGCCGACAGCGTCCGCACTAGCGCCCTGTCTCTGCGTGCGATAAATCGCCCATGACTTATCGCTTCTAGCTATGAATCGTTACTTAGTGGCTCGGCGAAATTTGCGACTGTGAGTTATCCACAACTACATGGCCTTCTAGATACGCTGAGTCCAGTACTGTGCTTGAAAAGCCAGAAAAGTGCTTTTCACGGCGTTTTCCTACCCTGGAGAAAGCGAGGGGGTGGGCCAGGGATTCCCGCCAACACGTAATTGGCTGCCCGAACCGATCGGCCAATTAGCGCCAAAATGCATGGAATTACAGTCTCCTGCAGCCACTTGCTGTTTATGACGGTAATCCTCCGCCTATCCGCTCCAGCTAACTCCAGGGTAGGAAAACGCCGTAAAAAGCATTTATTTTTTATTTTTCAAGCACTACACTGTACTTGGCTCATCCAGAAGGCCATGCAAGTGTGAAAATATACAGGGTGTCCCAAAAGTAAGTACACACTTTTCAATCGTTAATATCTCTCTCCCCATTGCGTCTTTTTCCGCATTTTGAGTGCCATTCTGTAGAGAAGGCTTCAACTTAGATTTACAGTATCGATCGAATCACCGACCCCTCTTCATTACCGTAGGATTACTGTAGGAACTACGACAAGGATTTCAGGCCGTTGGAAGCGATATTTCGCCTTGGAACAAACCAAACGAGCCGAATACCGTTGTACTATGGTTGCGGAAGCCGCTGATTTCGAATATGAAATTTTCACTTCACTGTGGTGCTTCTTTCCAAAGTTATCCCAAGTTAACCGTAATAACCGAATTCCCAGCATTGGTCAGAAATGTGATTGCACCATCAAAAAAGCTGAAAACACTCGTAAAAAGTTGTGCAGTGGAATCAGCATGCGCGAAAACCCTAGTACACAATTTCTCAGGTTTTATAGAAAACTTTTGTCAGATGGCATATTTCTCATGGATTCCACATGCTGGAAGTTCTAACCGTAATCCCATAGTAACGAAGGGCGATCGGTGATGCGATCGATACTGTAAATCTAAGTTGAAACCTCCTCTACAGAATGGTACTTGACTGGATGAAAAAGACGGATTGGTAAGAGAGATATTGGCGACTGAAAAGTGTGTACTTACCTTTGGGACACCCTGTATATCCTTTTATATATATCCTTCAAAGCAAAATCTTTATCTTGTAAAAATTCTCATGGCTTGAACATCCCCCGCCAAGGTATAAAATTGCTCAAACACTTGACGGGAACAGCTTTGAACTCCCATTACCGTACTTTCGCTGACTTTTGTACCATTTCCATGGGGGCGCACAAATTTAGATCAACTTGCATTTTTCCCTAATGCGCTACCCCTGCTTTATATGCACCAAATTTAAATTTGACTAACTTCTTCTCAGGCTATTCTCCGTTGAAACGGCATACATGGACACACTACGAACGGCTGGAGTGTGTGTTGTTGTCGTTTCGTATGAGTTTGAGGCGATTTCAATACCCTGAAACTCGAATTTTTGACGTCAATAATAGCATTTACATGTGTTTTCGAATTTTAGAGCTTTTGAAGTCCACATACACTCTCAGCGTCTCTGCTTTCCTGAGTGACCTGACGTTGTAAGCCGCGTCGCGATGACATTCGATGCTTTCGCAGTGCTGAATAGTAGCCATCACGAACGGCTGAGAACATCATGGTGACCAGCTGCGACCATGCCGCTACCGTATCCGCGGGCTGGAAAAACACTCGTTCAGGCAGGACATTTAAGAGCTTAGATGAGCAAATTTTCCGTTTCGTAAAACAAATAGCAATCCGCCGGTGATTGGGTTTTTCAAAATAATTTAAAGTTCACAAAATTGCCTCACATGGTGTAGTAGTTTATATTAAAAAAAAGCTGGATGTTATTGTCCAAGCGAATTATAATTACTCTCAATGAGCAAAAGCCGAACACATTCCACAAGCTTAACCTAGGCCAAAATCATTAGAACCCCGAATAGTTTTTCAGTCTTGGGACACGAACTCGGAAAAGAATATTAAGATTTTCAAAAATTTGTAAATTTACTTGCACCATTTTATTCGGTCTTTTTTTGATAATCATATTTTGAATAGTTAGAATCTTACGTACTTTGAAAGCAACTTTCCAGTTTTTGATTCGGATTTGCTGAAGATTTGTCTTTTTTTGTGCCAATCGAGTTTTAGATCTGACAAAATACTAGTTTTTCGTAAATAATCTTTGAAACAGCCCTTTCCAACTCAGAAATGTTTCTGTTTCTTTAAAATAATGCGTACGGTTTTCTAGATCTTTATTCCTATAAAACTACAGCAAAAAAAACGTTCGAACCTGATGATTGGCCATATCCAGAATTACACCTTCGACAGTAATCGCATCAGCGATAGAGACCCAAAAGTCGGGTTTGAAGCCATATGACTTCAATTCCACATGCTCTTCTCCGTAGAGCCGTGAAATGGCACAAATATGGTCAGGATCAAAGATCTGGAAATACTTTTTTGAGATTTACTTACATGTGAATGCTCATTGAGGTTTATAGGAGGGTAAAGGGAAGAGATTTTGCAATCACAAGGAGCCAGCTGCACCTTGGTTGAAATCATATTCGAGGTTTTCAGTTAGAGATAATAAGTTTCAAATTAGATGCAGAATCACTCATCCGCAATCTAACCACGATCGCTGTACTGTTTAGTACAAAATCAGCCAGTTCGTTAGAACTCAGCATTTCAGCACCCTTTTCATCGCAAACTGTAAAGCAATTAGATTGATTGATAGAATGTTCTTGTTTTTCCACTTTCTATTGTTGCTTTACGTTAGAGACAAACGTTTAGTCATCGACGCTACATCAACGGGCTGTAAATCTGGGTGATTTATGCAGAATCGCGATCTTAAGAAGCGCAAGCTCTACAAAAAAGTTTCTATAATTAGTAGAATAAGCGCATTGAAGAGAAAGGGAGGAGGGGGGGGGGGGAGGGGAAACGGGGACCGGATACGATTTCTTGAATACCTTTTAGAATACATGCCTCGCCTCTGTAAAAACAAGCAGAAAAAATTTGATCTTTACCTTGGCAACGACTTCTTCTACCAGGTCCTTTAGCCTTACGCTCATTTGATAGGCTCGTTCCTTACCAAGTGCATAAACGTACTTCTGATAATCTGGTCGTTTCTCAAATATTCGTTGTAACACCTGGAAAATGCTTCTGCATAATTTTAGAGCACTCATAATTGCCGTTTTTCTGCGAAAGGATCACCATCTTCAAACTCTTCCAGAAATTAATTTGCAACTGTTGAAGTAAGAATTTTAGCGCACAAATTCAGTATCTGCGCATGATTAATTGATTTGATCGTTGTTTAATCATATCCTATCCAAGATTTTCAATTTATCCCTAACAAGTAAAATAATCCCGTAATATAAACGAAATCTAAGGAGGTTTCTAATCCTGATGCTTGATCTATGAAAATTTCATCTTTATCCCGTTAATGGAATGGAGTGGTTAGCTTGCTCAGTGGCCTTCCTTTATTTACTTATTCGTAATGCTCCAATATTGGGCAGATTCAATCTTCGATGATAAATGACAATTGCGTAGGCATCAGAAAGAAAATGAAAAGTTATGATACAACAAAAGTACAAATAATAATAGATAAGGAGACGTTTCGTTGAAAAAAAAATTCTTTTCCGACTCAAGTCAGCCCCAGCTGCAATTCAAGGTCTTGGACAATTAGAAATTGAAAAAATTTTGCGGAGAAAAATGGAGATACTTTTTTTTTCTAAGAACGTTTCAGAGCCATTAGATTTGTAGACGCAGAAGGTTGCGTCAGGTTGCGAAATTCGTTTTTTCTTTCAACCCAGTCCGCAAGAAATTTACTACTAAATGGATGAAGTAGTAACGATTTCCAATTTTGCTAGTTGAGCTCGAGTATCTTCTCATTTTTTGCCTCAAAGACCGAACAACAGCTGACAGTCGCAGCGCCTCATGAGAAAACACAACCGAAGCACATGCGCTGCTTCGGAACGAACGTTATGACAACAGGCTTGACATGAAAGTAGGAAGTGTTTCGGTGTGAAAACGAACATTTTCCCAACGTTGGACGCGTGAAAAATCGAAAAACAAGAGCTAAGTTCAAGTTCGAAAGATTTCTTTGAAAATGATACAAGTTTTCTAGCAGCGCGGCAAGCAGCAAAATCTAAGCGCAACCAGGGAAGAAATTTTTGAGGACTTTTTCTGGTATTTAACTCACTCCAATAAGGATCAGTGTAAGAGCAGTCTAAACCTCCTGGGATGATAGTGCTCAGCAACATCTGAAGTAAAAAATTCACCAACCTTGTTGCCGAATTCTGAATGCGGATTCTCAAAACACTGAAGAATAATCTCTCGTCCCTGAGGGCTGATTGGGTGCGCCAAATCTTTCCGCATTGATCTCGCTCTGGATAGGCCATTCACCGTGCTGAAAAAAAATCTCTGCAAATTGATCACCATTTCTCTCGATCTCGTTTCTTGCAAACACCTCACCTCAATAATACACCTACTCACAAACAACAGTGTTCAGTCGCAAGTTTTTTTATCCCACGAGAGATGGCGTCGTCTGACATAGTGTCGTCAAATCGCAATTTACGGCTCAACAGCTGTTTGTATCATAGCAAAAGAAAAATCTTCTCAAACTTATGTTTCAGCGGTAAAGTTTTCTGCTGCATTAGGAAAGAGCCTCTTATTGACTGTACTATAAGAAAAGGGTTGACTCAGAACAAGGATGTCTATGGATTCAGCCGTTTGTGGGAAGGCCACTGGTGTTACAACCCTCTAACCCTCTAACATATTTTTACCATATACTACAAGGGCTTTAACAATATTTTTTGCCCAATTACGATTCTCGTTGTAGCACTACCATTTCAAATAGAAATCCAACCTTCTAGTTTCTCAAACTGCGCACAGCATCGTACCAAAATAAGGGAAATCCAGACAAACACACGATCTATGCATATTTGCATGTATTTGACTAAGCGGGGGAAAGTTTGAAGGAGAAGGACGGGGATGAGTGAGAGACGAAAATCTCCAGAAACTGTGAATCTATCCTTCATTTGTTACCTAGATAAGCCTTCAAACAAAGCCGCCGCATGCTCGTGTTAGAGAAGCATTAGTGAAAAACGTTGCGATACGGCTCTTACAAACTCACGATTGTTCTGAGGTTTTTTTTCTTAAAAATGGCTAAAAGATCTACCTCCCACTTCGTGACTCCTTGAGCGGTTGCTTCGGTCGATCAGAAGATTTGATGCCAACAATGGATCGCTGCTTGTTTCGTGATCCAAGTTCCATCAACGATTTACTTTTTGGTGAGTAATCTTCCGACCTACTCTTCTTCCGAATCTCCATCGATTCCGACTTATGTCGAACCTTTGACGAACTGGACGAGCTGCCCATCTCCTGTAACGAGAAAAACAGCAATTCTCTGTGAGCACCTATTAACATATAATGTAGAATCTAAATGAGCTGTGCGAACCGTAGACGAAGCGGAAATACGGACGAGACGCGGACGAGAGCGATGTCTTCGAGCGTACACACACCACCACCACGACAAACAACATTGTAGATGATGGATTCGTCGCGCGACCGACAAACCCGTGAAGCTCCGGAGGCTGCCCATAGGAGGAGCGGAATGTGGGAGTGGCGTTGGTGACGTCGTCAGGGGCCCGAGAGTCCACGCAAAAAAAGCAACAATATGATAAATGGGGGGAGGGGGGGGGGGAGAAGAGGCGTGAATGAGGTCGGCAAGTACTAGACACGAAGTTTCGACGACGGCATTATGCCAGAAGATTTAGCTGGCTTAAAGGCGAGAAGAAGGTAACTTTTAATGGCGGTGAAGGACTACCAGCAATGATTCAAAAAGCAATGAAGCTCTACAGATTTGAATTATTCAATGGAACCGAAATTCGCCAAGAACCCGCAGCGTGTTTCTGGATTTAGCGAGACTCCCTTGTGAATAGACAATGCTGCACTATGCTGTGTTGCGCGCGAGTAACGCTTCTAAATCCTCGATCGCGACAGATTTATACCCTAGAGTAGTAATAAAAATGAATCAAAAAGCCCCCCCCCCCTCCTTCCCGATTCAGTGAACAAATGAAGTTATTCCTGATTTGTATCGCTTTCAATTTAAACGGTATAATGAGAAGTGTTAAGCTCACGGGGGCAATATTATGGGCGGTAAAGAGGCAATAGGAAAGAAGTCAGACGATGGTTACAGCTGGAAGAGTTTGGAGTCATTTTAATACTATGCTACAGAAACATGCCAGCGGACTACACACATAGGATGAAAGATAAAGATTAAGAGCTGAATTTCAAACCTCGAAGATAACGAAAGCGGAGAAAATAATCCTTACAGGTTTAGCCTCGACTTTTATACTCAACGACAAATAAATGCACGGATAATTCTTCATTGGCTGCATTGCATACTATAAATCTAACATACATGATTTACATGTATTTACATTTCCTCAATCACCGTCACTATCAATATACTTTTTTTCTAATGAGAAGCAACACATCAAGGTGGAAAAACATTACACGATGGGCAGGAGCCTAGCAAAAAAGCGTATTTGTTTCGCATGAGCAGCCTTTATCGGGATAAATCAAGCATTTTGCTATTGAAGCGGCTAAAGCATGCTAGAGATTACCTATTTGTTTTATAGGACGTGTAGTAAGGACGTAATTTATGAAGCAATTGTTGGGTACAATTTTAAAAAAATATTTGTCATAATAGTAATCCGAATTTCAAACATTTAATCTCGTTTTCTTCAGGGCTAAGATAAAATTTGTCTCGTTTATCATGGGGAAGATAGTGAAAGTTACCAAAAACAGAGCCGTTAATGGACTTTATTTCGAAACGACAGAGGGATTAGCAAACGAACATAGGATAAATATTTGAAAGGGTCGCGTTCGACAACAACAAACTAACAAGAATGGCAAACGCTTGTCTCAAGTAAAGTGCTATCAAAAATTGCGGAGAAATCTTAAGTGTGGATTCAACAATAATGAAGAGCCCATAATAGATAGTAAGGAGGAGAGTACAGCGGCGAAAATCTATGAAAACTTAACTCTCCTTCTGAAAGCCGCGATTTCGCTGCGTTCATTTCAATTCACAGTTCTCTCCATGCAAAAGCGATAAAGCGAATCATTTTCGACGACGCTAACAACCACCATTCGCACCAGCAGATGGCCGGATCTTCTTAGAAAATGAAGAGGCTAATGTGTTAATCAGGACATAAAGCGAGCAAGGGGAAGCCGTACTAGACCAAGAGTGCGGAAGTCGTCTCCTGGCAGAAGGACAAAACAGCGTTAGCTACACAGAGGCCACATACACACACAACTTTGTTGTCGGTGGACATGACATTCGTTCTCCGTTATCCAGGTAACACTAGCTGAAGCAGCCCTTCTCCTGCTCTCTCAGCTGATTGCTTTGTTTTCGAGAATACATCACAGACACAGCGGGGCAGATATAAACGTCGTTATGCATGAAGTGACAAGGTCATGACCACCCACCAACGTGTACACATAGGTGATTTACCGAGCTGCAAGTTAGGGGCATAGCAAATCTGCTAAAATTGTCGCCAATTGCTGGCGACAATGCCACGAACAATCAGTGCTCGATTGTTTTGAAAAAGTTTGTTGCTGAAGAAAAGGCAAGTGCATGCGTAGAGCAGTCCGTGGCACAACACACCACCTGCAGAGCTACACCATGGCCACGCCTCGTTGGCGGCACCTCATCCCCTACGCAAGGATCATTGGCTTATTTTTGCTTGAAGGACATGTCTTTTTCCTATGGAACGAAGTGTTACCTTTATGTACTGCAAAAATTCGGCCAAATGCACAACGCAGCAATCTCTAGTATCTCAACCTAGTCTCAAATTATATCTACGGCTCAATTCCTGTAGCGAATTTTTTGTTATCTTCACTCATGAACTAATGTAATCAGCTTTTCTTTTGTATTATACTTTCAGTGACCTCCGCCAAAAATATTTATATGACTGATGTCTATATTTTTGTTAGTAGATCAGCGTAATTGCAGAGAATGAAATGAAGTTTGGCAAATAAAAGTAGGTGGTTAGAAGTGGTTGGAAGTGATCGCTTCGTTGAGCTTAATTGGAAAGCGTAGTACTAGCGTTATACGGGTATAGGTCAAAATTTAGTAAGTTCACTATCAATATGATAACCTGAAAATTTTTAAAAACTTTCTAGGCTTTTTCTCTGGAAGAATAACGCAATATTCAGCAGTGAATGAATCATAAACTATCTAGAAAACTAGCAAAAAAATACTCAATTAAAAACGAACTTTTCGAGCCACGCTAGCAAAGACGAGAGATTTCTCTACCATTGCAACGCTGAAGTAAACGATTAAAGCTAGAAAAGGCACACAATGAGTGCAAATGCATGCATGGCTACCTCCATTTTAGAGATTAACGGTTTTTCGCAAAAGTTTTTATATGGTCAGAAGGTCTTGTAACCATGCATTCAAGGAAGCTATAAAAAGATCTTTATGTCATAAACGCCTTTGTAATTCGTGTGAAGCATGTGAAATGTACAGATGTCTACAAGGTTTTTGGCTAGTTTGCAGGTGATTGCACATAAATGGTCTTCGAAGAAAATCAATTATTAAATTCTTTTGCACATGTGCCTACAAGTTTTCATGAGTTGCCAACAATTTCTGAGGCTCATTTTTCCGTCTTGAAAAAAAAGAAATGACCTGTTGGAGATAAATACTGCAACGAACTCAGAGTACTCAGACTTATCAAGCCACTCAAGTGTCAACTTCGATCAAGCCTACTCCGTTTTCGCAGGAAAAATGATTCATACTTTCTTGGACGATGGCCAAATCGCTTTGCATCGACTCATGCGGAACCATCTGTATAAAAACTAATTAGATTGGGCTGCACTGAGGAATTTAGTCGCAGACCGGGAAGTCCGAACTAAGAGTGCTGGATTGTGTAACTGAGAGCACGATCTGAAAAATGATAGGATGCATATTTCTTCGAGCGGTACTACCATTACGATATATATGTAATCAGATCTCAACTCAGGACAAAAAGAAGCACCGAAGCTTGCTACAAAAAATTTACTTTGTTTTTGAAAGGAGAAAGTTACGCTATAAAGATGGCGTCTGACTGAACTTTCTATACCTTTGAAAATGATGTTGTACCCGCGTGCCAGCTTAGTCAAAGGTATAAAATTTTAGTTGTTAAATTATTCACACATCAAAGTTCAACGTTTTAAGTAATCCTAGACGCATATGAGAGCAGAAAGTATGTGGACATTTTTCCCGATTTTTGTGAATATTCTTACAGCAGCTCATAGAACTTCACACTTTGTCAACAACGTGTAGGATGCATTAGGTTGTCAAGGAAATGTCTTTAACTTGCTATGGCATCGCCAGTAGGCGAATCCCAAGATCGTATTTGGGGTCTGTTAAGAAATCAAAGCAAGATTCACAAACTCGTACTGATGCTTCCGCGCCAAGATTGTTAAAATGCCAAAAATCAACAAAATTCAGTACAATGTATATTTCATTGTTGCGCACAACCTTCTGCCACCATGCTGTCAGTTTTTGGTTTTTTTTCCAGAACTCAGCGGGTGTGGTCCCGAAAAAGTCGTCTAACCACCGCCTGGAATCGTCTTCAAAATTAAAATATACGCCGTCCATATGATTTGTGATAGACTGGAGCGATATTATGCTAGAGCGAGACTTCTGGAGTACATCGAATATTAATGCACCTCCCGGTCAAGTCTTGTAGGACGGCTATGACAACGGCTGCCGTAGGGGGCCAACTTTTCTCGCCCAGGAAAAACCTCACTGGACCTACTTATTAGCCTTTTCTGCAATAGATATTCGCTCAGACGGTGCAGTCGGGTTGTGTACGGTGTGGATGACCGTCTTTTACTTGCCTAACGATTTTTATTGCACAACGTCCTGCCCATCCTGCAAAAAGTCTTGTTTAGGGGTCACCTTGTTAACTCTTGGTATTTCTTCGCAACCCACTCTTTTTTGTCTCATATTGACCGAAAGACGCCATTTTTCATAATTGTCGAAAATGTATGTGGAAAGCGCTTTTTTCGTAAGAAATCCTTTTTTGAAAGATGATATGTAGATCAAAGTAGATCAGCTTTTCATCAAAAACCATAAGTTCATCTTGAAGAGCATGATCGGCTCTCATGCATCATGCCTCAAATCGACCGCTTCTCAAAGAAACGAGAACGAGAATGAAAACTCTACGAACTTATAAAACGACCTAGTACATATGCCACTGAAGAGCGTATATTGTGAAAACAATGATATTGATTCAATATGGCATTGGTGCACATTGGTTAACTCCTACGTTAGTTCACGAACTTCCTCTTTGTTTTATTCAACAGAAATGAGCATGTTTTCTGAGCCTCTTCTAAAAATGTGCAGAACCATCTTCTTCCGAAGGGTATAAAGCTGCATGCAACAACTCTGGTTCTGATCTGGTAGAAGATAGTTAATATTATGCCTCGAGAGAATACCCTTTATTGGAAGTGGTAGCTGGAAGGCGGAGCCTCGATCGCGATTAAGCCTAAGAAATGATTAGAGAGGACACTTGCGAGAGAGATCCAGTGCCCCACCTACCACCCGCCACTCCGAACATACAGAGGAAATAGGCCGAATTGGTTTTTTCTTGTCTGAGCTGTCGAAAAATCACATAGCTGTTTATTCACGCTTATCAAAATGGAATGCATAACATTATTTTTGATAACGATCGTATTGGTCATGATGGAAAGGAACAAAGCGATTGGAACTAGATTTCTTGCCACGCCCACGAGATCCATGTACGAAATCGTCTGCTTTCTCGTTTTCTAAATGATGTCACCTGTATGAGCAGTTCCAGGACATGTTTTAAGGAAAATGCGTACCAAATTCTTTGTCATAGGCTGATTCTTTGAATCCGTAATCTTCTTCGCCAGACTCAGAAAAAGTTTCGTGGTCACCGTGTTCATCATGTTCTTTCGCTGGAAGCGAAGAATCAGGGTGGATTGACGACGCTACAATGCTCACTCACCATAGCTGTCATGTCCTCTGTCATGATATGATCCACGTTCACTATGCTGCCCACCATTTGCAAATTCGTCATCGTCGTAATTCTTGCTGTGCTTCTCATCACTTCGGAACTGTTCAATGTGATATTGGGGCCTTATGTACTTATAGTTGAAGAAACCGAAAGTTTTGGTTCTCAAAGCTAGAAAATCACTTGATAAAAATTACTACACATATAATGATGAATGTCGCTACTTCGACCACTGCTACCGCTCTTCTGCTTGAATTTCTCCCCTTGTTCCTCTTGACTGGCGCCAGAGTCGCGAGCTCCTTGGGAAGACTCCGAGCCGGACTTATGTCCAGATGATGAAGCTCCACTGATACGATTCCTCAAAGAGTGCGATTTAACTCAAGCTTCATAAGTGGCCATAGCTGAGAGCAAACCCTAGTCTTAAATGACGAGTTTTGTAATGTTGTTTTCCTCGTACAAGTAAAGGAATAATTGCAAAGAAAAAAGCAACACGAGTACAGACTAATGTGGAATTTGCATTCCTCTTCGCCTTAACATAAAACTTCGATTTTTATTGAGCAATCATGACTCGTCGCTGCCAACTCAGAAGACTCAGATCTCAAAGCACTGCAGACTAGCTGTGGATATCAGGTCGTTGTGGCTGCAGCCGCAGTTGAGAGCAGATACCTCACAAGGACAAGTTTTGTATGTTTTTTATGCGTAAAAGTGAAAATGCTAAGAACAAATCCGTCGCTGCTCTATGATCCCAAGAGGAAAGCAGATAAATTGGGAAAAAACAGTTATTTGCTTCGATATGAAATGCCCGAAAAAACAAGGATCCTTGTTTGCCTCTAATTACGGTTGAAATGCTAGTAATTGGACTGGAAAGCACATGTAAAATGGGTTAAAGTTTTGCAACTATCCATTTTTGTTTCCCTATGTTCACAGAACCCTTACTCACCATGATCCTCGTTTCTCATCGGATAATTTGGATAAATCATGCATACTATGGCGATTTCTGAAGTCATGTTGTCCATAGCTATCCCTTGAGTCTTCGCGGTCGTAGCTCAAACAATCAAACTATATTAAGAAACTTCGAAATATATTTGTACTGTATAATAATAACAATTTATATGACAACCTCGAATGTTTTATAGATGCAGACGCGAGAGCAAATCCGATCAGTTGAATTAGTATGAAGCACTGAATCATTGTACAAACTATTTAACTTCAAGTTCACTTGGAAGTGGCTTTTATACTGATGCAACGTATCATAGCTCGCTATGTTACGATTGTGTTTTTAGTGAATTCACTACGCATCGTTGCAGTCAATGGACCAAACGTTGTACAGGTTTGTGGCGCTGCAAGAACAGCTTCCCTACGAATTATCATCTGGCCAACATGCTGGGATCGTGCTACCTCCAGATGAACCTGCTCCGGCGGAAGTTTCAAAAAGGAGATGGGAATGGGCTCTTCCAAGTTACACGCTTCATCAAGTTAAATGTAACGCGGACCGAACATCGTGAATGCTCGAGCTGAACTAGATTCTGTACAACTAGGGCATACCGCATTCATTCAAACATCGCTTCCTAGAAAAGGCCAAACTGCTCAACGATTTGCTTGGTATGAGGTTGATGCTCAGTTTTTACACCAAATACTAGAAAAACACTGTTTTAAAAATCTTTAAACAAACTAATCAATCTGCATGTTATGCTCTTCGTTATGTATATCAAAAATAATAAAATACTACATTTTAGAAAATCAATAAAAAATCAATGAGTCATTTTGAACGAATCGAAATTCGTAGCTACTCGCGGAGGCACCCAATCACTACCAACTTTTCTTAGTCAAAAAGAGTATGTATATAACCAAACTAAGGCCAATAATCTAAATAGCAGACGTTCTACATTTGCCTGAACGCTGCCTTCAGGCTACGACTGAAAAAGGAAAGCCCAAGGATAGTTATGGACAACATGACTTCATTCATCGCCATAATATGCACGATCTGGCAACTTATCTGAGCAGAAAGGCCTGAAGAGTATGAGAATATTTTGGAGAAAAGCAAATACGATTCATTGCTGTGCAGGATCCTTAGTCATTTTCAAATTCCACCATTTAATCACTGGTACCGTTGTTCAGAAAGGTAGGTCATGTAGCTGAGGTCAAGTATAGGGGTTTCACGCTAGTAACGCTCGGGTATAGTGGGAGTTGGAGTGGTATCTAACCGTGTACGCCTCACCCCTTGCTCAAACCTTATCGTTTGTAAATTAATAAGTGAGAATTACAACACGCGCAGCGCTCACGGCTACAGAAAAATATTAGGTCGTGCCGAAATTATTTTCGCTTTTTTGGAACAGCTGCCACAGTTCGCACGAAGATTTATATAAGATCTTGGGAGCCGGAGGATACTTTTGTATGAAATCATGAATTTATGTTGTGTATAGTATACGTTTGTGAGAAGGGTGAACTTACCCTTTTCCAACAATTTTTTGTATTTTAGGCAACCTGCCAACTGCCTGCTGAACATACAAGTTGAAATACACAAGTCCAAGTTATTCTCTATACTTAGGTTGAGAGTTGTGAAACAGTTGTCAGATCTTCCCTATATATCGGTTTTGACTGGGATCAATGGGTCGATGTCCGGCATGTCCAAGTGGAGAGGATCGTACCGTCATCCTTTTCTAGTTTTTTTTCTCACACCTACTCGTACTCTGCTTTTTCTTTCACTGCTCGAGCATAAATAGGGTAAACAGGTGCAAAACATTTTTGGACAATTTAGGCATTTTGGGGCTTATTCGGGACTATTAGCTCGTTCAAAAGTTCTTTCCGTTTTCAACCTGCTATAAAATCAGGTGGAATGAAAGCAGGCAAATGTTCTAACGGAACTACCAGACGCAGTTTTTCTTCCACTTTCCAATAGTCATGTTTTGGAATCATTTGCTTCGGTGGTTTTTGAGATAATTGCCGAAACTTCAAACCCATGGTTTTTACCATTCCCAAATTTGGCAATTTTTCACAATCTTCATTGTGAGCATTTGAAAAAGCTTTGATAGCTGTTAGGTAGCGTAAACAAAGTGCAACAAAGTGCAAAAGTGCATTTACTTGGTGATAGTATAGTTTGCAGTTTTATACTTGCAGTGGCTTATAGACTCTCTCCAGCAAACGATGTGTGATTTTTTGTAGCTCTTCCTGCATAGTGGTTCAATTTTGTTCAGTTTGGAATATTTTGGATGGGTCAAATTTCACGGATTTGTCGGAGGAAATCAAATCTGTACGAAACTTTCACGGAGCAACAACCTTCCTCTAAGAACAAATCTTTCATTCGTTAGGAAGGTTAAAAATTGTTGAGGAAAAACTTTTGTGGTAGTCCAAATTGATCTAAAATTTCCGGTTTCACTCGTTGGATAAACATGTGAGTCACCGCCTAGCGGTGATGGTCTTCTGTCGGATTTCATGAATCACCGGTTCTCAGTTTGATTTGAATTTTCCGGAGAAACGTCGAAAAATTCGATTATGAAAATTATTTGAGCTAGCAATACTCGGTACTCGGTACACTCGAGTAAGGTAACTCTAATTTACAAAAATTCATCAGTTCAAGTGCTTTGTTTATACTTCTAGTACAACTTGGGCCGGATACCTTACCAAAGCAGTTTCGAAAAAAATCATTTATGGAAAGCACAAGCGGGAGTATGCAGTTTTTTATCATTTTCAAGAAAATTTTACAGTATGTGTTGTACTGCGCTATTCCATATATGACATTGACAAAAACTTTGTATTCTGTTACTGTACTTCATTATGTATTCTATTACGCTACTCAGATAAATTTCTAACCGTTAGCTTTTTCTTCTATACAGTCGTACAGCTTGTCTACATAAGTGATTTAGTTGAAAAAATACACTCTCGATTTCAGAGATGAGGGGAGGGGGGATACTACTCGCGTATGCCTGCTCTATCCTGCTTTCTTCCCTTGCTGATTGTCTTCAAAAAGGTTTTCCATCTTTAATCTCTTCTGAAATAAACTGAAAGTCATGATTTGCTCTGATCAGTTTCTTTCGCCTACACTAGTCACATGCTCTACAAACTTGATGTTTAGGCAACTTCCCCAAACGACGTAGCAAGCTAATTCTAAAAAATTTGATTCTGGAAAAAAGCGGATAATTGGGAGATTCTTGAAAGCCTACACTCTGCTTCACAAATTCTATATTTCACCTAGCATATTTTTCCGGTGCAAATGTGTGTGTCAAACAAACTTGCGCATAAGCATAGCTTTTATAATATAGTGACAGAAATTGTTAATGCTTTTGAAGACCACCATCTTTTCAAGAAGCGAGAATTCCAATCTTCATACTTCTACATTTTCCTCGTCACATATTCATTCTGTACTGCACTGCAAACCTACAAGGACTTCAAATTACTGTAATTGTGCTGTAAATGAAGATCACGCCAGCGTGTCATGCATGATCTGCCTCCAACATATCGATGAATGCGGAAAAAATCGCAGAAGCTTTGTCGGAGAACTCTGATTTTCATTCCAATCTATAATAGTTGAGCTTACAAGTTTGCTTACCTTCCCTCACCTACCTTCACATACCTTTGTCTATCTTTCGTCAACATGTGTCTTCCTTCTAACCTTTCATCATATCTGCAAGATCAAATCTGTAAGCAGTGAACAAAATGGACTCTTCAACGACATCGATCGCAATGAGATGTGCTAGTCCTGAGATGTTGATGTTTCTGTTTCGATATTTTTGCATCTTTGAGTTACGGATTCTTTCTAACTTATTGGTTACAACCTTCCCTTCTTCATTATAAAGTCGCGTTACCCGTTTTTCCAATTCTTGGTGAAGTTTTCAAACCAGTAACAATTTGTTTCGAAAAATTCTAATTTGACTATGCGGATGTAAAATAGTAGTTTACAGGAGGCAATCACAGGAAAGAAAACGTATTTTGTGGCATTGCCATTGCCATCGACATATCAAAACGTTCAAGGAGCGAGGATGGGAATGGAGGTTTGAAGCTGTTTTGACAATCCTGAATAACTAACAAATAGTGCTATGAATGCCTTATTTGAAAATCATAAACTTCTATGTATAAGCTGAATAATGTTGAATTTTCAAGCAGCTTTTACTGAACTTAAAAATTCCGTAAACTTAGAAGGAAATGATCGTAGTCGAAGTGCTCTCTCAAAAAACCTATACCTCCTTGGAGAGCATCAAACGCTGATTCCAAATCTGACTTCGGTATTTGCTTTGCTTCTCTGAATGTCGAGTTATGGGCACTTACCAGTCAAAAATCAAACCCCAACTAGAGCAAAATTATTTTGTGCACTCAGACCTAATTGTATTAGAGTGTCCCATAATTTTTTTTACCGTTTTTACTACAGCCGTCGTCTTTTTGTATCTTTCCTTCAACTAATGTGGGTTCAGTAATCATTCGACAGGGCAAAGCAAGCGGTACGGCTATCAAAAGTCTGCGTAAATCGTATTCCGCATGAAGTTACCTGAAATCTGATAGCAGACAAAAGCGAACTTTTCCATCGAAAATCGTATCTTCGCCCCAAAAAATCTTAAAAATTTTCCATGGCTAGAAAAGGAAAAAATGAGTGGGGTAGAATGGCATCGTCCGTCCTTAGACGTCCTGGGCTCCTCCCAAGCACGTTATCATATAGCTCATATATTCAAGTACGACCATGTTTTTTGCAAACTTTGTAGGTGCCCTAGTTCTCGAGAAATGAGGAAAAGGGTAAAAAAAATTATGGGTTAACCTAATACTTTCAAATACCCGTCGAATGGGCCAAAGTTGGATATGCAGGTACATCGACATTCACAACTGCTCTTAAGCGCCGAAGAGGACGGTGATTGCTTCATTTAGGCTTTGCAATCAGGGCCCGGCACGAGGTGGGCAAACGGGGTTTTCCAAAACGAATTCCCCTTTGATCCCAATAAATTTTACGAATACTCCCTTGAGCCCAAAATGACGTTTTGTGCTTGTGCGACGAGATTACCGGCCACACTTCGCCTAAAAGCGCTCAAAAGCGCCCAAATTGCTCAAATTCCTCAAATTACTCCTCAGCTATATCAAGATAGAAAACAGGAAGAAAAATAAGCAAGAAAAATGATTAAGGAATGAGAAAATATCAAAGAAACGCAGTCATAGGAATGAGAGACGCCGTTCCCGCGCGTATCAATTGACTGGGGCGCGCTTTCTATCTTAGAAAGCTAGGCTGCTGATGCGATTTTGGGCTCTAACAAGGACAAGAGGAGGAGTTTCGGAACCAAAATTTCACCATGTAGTAAACTTTGGGTGTACAACAGATTTATGTAAAAATTTTGAAAAAATTATGTGAATTGAGAGTTTTGCCGACCTCAGGTGGGAATTAGGTCGGCAAATGCCGACCTAATTTGGAAATTAGTTAAGCACGCTCTTTATTCACATAAGTTTTTCATAATATTTCATACTTTATTACTTAGTCCTATTGCGCATATACACACCGAAACCCGCGCGATTTCGTTACCTCTGCGTTGCAAATGAGCCATTTTTCCATTTCTTTGGTAGCGCAAAATTTTCAGAAAAAAGTTTGCCACAACCTTCAGTCACATAATTTTTCAATGAAACTCCTCAATTAAGCCCTGCAAGCCCGTGTGCATGTACTTACCAAGTTTCATACCATATCGTTCATCTGCGCGTTCCAAACGAGCCGTTTGAATTCACATCTTCATTTACCAGTTTTGCGAAATTCTCGGAAAAAATGCTAATTACTCGTTCCGTTCACATAAGTTTTTCATAATTTTTCATACTGTGTTTCCACTAGCCTCTCTCCGTTCGCATACAAAATTTGGTGCCATATCGTTACACATACATTGAGAACTAGTCATGTATGCAGTTACAATTAGCATCGCTAGGGCGACGTCGCGCGTGCGGCATAGCGACGGCGCGGTTTGACGCGCGCGAACTCCAGTGTTCGCCTGTTGAGGCACATAACATGTCAAGATAAGTAGCGAGCATGAACTACCAATTTTTTTCCGGGGCTCCGCCCCGGATCCCGCAAAAACGATTTCCCCTTTGCTTTTTGGCCCCAAAACGATTTCCAGCTTGTCATTTGCCGACCTCGTGCCGGGCCCTGTTTGCAATGTCTTTGCAACAAAAAAAAACTTTCATAATTTGGCGTATAGAGACGCATACAAGATACTGAAGATAGATTTGGAATAAGCGTTCAACGCATTCACAAAAAATGGGAATTTTACTCATGTTTGTCGCAGAATGAATATATATGAAGGTTTTTGGCATGCTGATTACGAGTTATATTGTTTCGAAAGCTATGGTGGATTCTCATGCCAAATTCTTCATTTTTGCGGAAACTTCAGCGTATGCTTACCGCAGTGCCACTGTAAGACTCCAATAAGCAAGTTGGATGTTATAACCGTGGCCAACTTTATAAAACAGGGAAAGTCCATGATAATGGTCTCGTACTGAATGATTACCGTAAACTCATATCATGCCAATAGTTATGAATGTTATGTTTAATCTTTACCCGCCCTCTAAGCAAATTTTTCAATACGTTCTAAATCTTTTTAAGTACCCCTTCGTACAACACTACCAATGGATCGTAGATTTGACATTGCTTACCCTTTGTTCCGGAACGGCCGAGTATTGATGTGCTTGCGAACGTGTTGATTCTCTCCGAAATGGATCTGGAATTGCCGTTTGACCGAAAACACTTTCCTTGTCAATGTCACAACCAGAAGGGAAGACTACAAAAGACATAAATAGCTCCCATATTTTTCACCCTCTCTTTATCTCTCTTCACTATTATTTGTGGTTTTCTTTTTAGTATTTTGTCGGTCATTGACTGCCAGTTATCCTTTTTCTTATGCAGAGCAGTTTGCGTAACTTGAGTATTTTCTAAAAGTTTCAAACAATAATTTGATGACTATTATTTTCAAAATTAGCAAATGCTATCCATCTTTGAGCACCCATTTCACAGTCTAAACATATAATTTCCAGAAAGTATGTAGCCTCCTAAGTGTAGGGGACACTTTGCTACTCGCAAGCATCCACATTACTTTTTCCCAGGAATCCAGTTTCTCTCATTACCATCTTTCTTCTAATCTCTCTATTGTTTGAATTACTTCTTAACCACCTCTATTATTAGGTCGTGCCGAAAGTTCTATAGCTTCGTGTTTGAAAATACATAACTTTTGACTGTCTCGACAGATTTGCTTCTTTGAAATTTTATGAAAAGGAAGAAGTCCTCCTTTTTGTAAATTTTAGGTCAATTCAAGAGTTCGTGCCGTTTTTCAGACCTATGCTCAAAAACTTATGATAATGATACATGAACGATCTAAACAGCATTTTATACTGAATTTCTTTCTCGTTTTAACGGTTAGGTTTTTGTTCAAATTACTTTGATGTTCGCTCAATCTCCAGCACATGGTTTTTGACCATCTCCAGCTTGGCTGTTTTCCAAATTTTCCATCAACTTTGAACTAGCTTTGGCAGTTGGGTAAAATAAGCAATGTACGATGAGTTACTTTGGTATCTTAGATTAGATATTTCTAAATACCCTAAAATCCGTTCAATAAGTCCGGACTTATCTGCAGTTTTGACACGAAAAATCGCCCTCTGCGCCGCCAAAAGTCTTGCAGATAAGTCCTCCTAAATTCTCTATCAGATAAGTCCGCCTATCCTGAGCATGAGAAAGCGGACTTATCTGCAGGACTCTCGGCGGCGCGAGGGCGACTTTCGTTGTCAAGAAAGCGGACTTATCTGCTCAGTCTGCGAACTTACCTGATGGGTGGACTTATCTGATAGGCGAAATTATTGTACGGATTTTAGGGTATATTTTTCCAAAAGCCTTTTGCGAATTCGTGATATACATTCCGCTTCAAACACTGATAAATTTTCGGAATTTGAAACTTCAAAACAGCGCATCACTTGACGCTGATTTTAGCAAGCAACTGAGCGTTTTGCTGTTCGAAATATTGTATTCCGAATTTTTTGGGTACAGCATGGGACGAGTCTGGAAATAAGAATTATAATGATTTTATCCTCATATGTTATAGAAGTCAAGAAGGAAAAAAGCCTTTCAGAAAGAAGGGAAAAAGCAGCATCGAATGACACCCTGGTTGCGTGTATCGTTCTGTGAGGATTGAGATGCCCAAATATGGAATTTGACAGCATAAGAAAAATATTTTCAAGATTTTTAGGAAGCCAGCTAGAGATCCCAGAAAATATATCGTACTGTATTCTGTTTATATCCAACTGTCATCAGAGCTGGTCCAAAGAATGAATATGGAAATTTTATACAGTAGACCAACTCAGCATAGGAAAAATATGGGTTGGAAATTTTGAAGATTATTTGAGCAGACATCAAAGGAATCTGAACAATGAACGTTAGAAAGTGGAAGGAATTTTGCATGAAATTCCATTGAGCGTTTGTCTTTCATTATTCAAGTGGTTTGAGCATGGGTTCGAAAAACGGCACGAACTTTCGGACCGACCCAATATATATTGATGATCTCCTACTATACCACTCATTGCAGAGATAAAAATGGAGAAGGATCTTATAGTTTCACTTTGAGATAGGTCGCAAATCTGGAATGTTGCGGAAAAAATCTGAAATCGTCACTGGATAAGTATTATGACTTGTTGAGAAAAAATTTCGCTGTTTAAACAGCGAAATTTGTTTGAGCCAATGCTGTACGATCCACGTTCCCGGATTTTTTTAGGCCAGTGCTGCACGATCCACGTCCCCGGATGTAAATACTAACATACTCAAAGAGAAGGATCAAGGTATCTCGTTACCCCAACAGCGTGCGAGTGGCCCACCTTCCCCGCGCGAGCGGCGAGCGATAGTACCTTACGTGCGCCACACCTTACCCGTACGATCGGCCCTTGACGATCGCACAATCGCACATACCA